TCTTAAGGAGGCATTAATCACCTCCCTGGCCCAGCCAGCTGTCATCACCCTGTTCGTTTTTATCAGCAGTGAGTGGCAAGGGTCCACAGTGCAAGTAGTCACCCTGACCCTTCCAAGCACCTTGTCAATTTCCTCGAGGTTTATATCCATGTCCCCTGCACCGTGATCTATGCCAGTGGTTTTCAACCAGTGTGCTGTGGCACCCTGGAGCACCTTGAATGATTGTCAGGGGTGCTACGGGCAACACTGGCCTCTGTCCCTCTTTCCTTCCCTCCTTCCTCTGATGCCTTCTCGTGTCTCTGCCTCCTGAAGGCTTTCACAGTTGTTTATTGCAGCAGTCCTGGCTATAAGCTCTGCAAGCGAATGGTACCTCTGGGCAGTGGCGTAGCGTGGGTTGTCAGCACCCGGGGCAAGGCAAGTAATTTGCGCCCCCTAACCCGTGGATTTGCGCCCCCTAACCCGTGGATTTGCGCCCCCTAACCTGTGGATTTGCCCTAACCCCAGATGTTGCGCCCGGTGCGGCCGGCCCCCCCTGCACCCCCCACGCTACGCCACTGCCTCTGGGAGACACCTCTCTTTGGGGTGGGGGGGGGGAGGTCAGCTCAGAGACCAGGGACAGCAGCAGCTGCTGCCTGGAACACTCCCAAGGAGAGGGGAGAGGAGAAGAGGCTGAGGGGACACTCCACAAGGGAGGGTGTTCGAAAAAGGGTGAGAGGCTGCCAGCTCTGCAGGCAAGGGGTGGCATAACTGGGTTCCTGAGCCTCATACAAGTTGACAGAGATTGGATAAGGAAGCCATGGACTCAAAAAGGTTGAAAACCTCTGATCTATGCCCACAATCCTCGAAGCATTTGGTGGGCATGAAAATTACTGAAGTCAATATAGGAGCATGCTTGAACTTATTCACACTCTGTATCGTCAAGGAAGCCTGAAACTGTTACTAGCATTAGCAGTTCCTTGTTTTGATGTTGCTGCATTGCGTCACCATAACAACTTCAGCATTACCAAATACTGTAGTCCTTTCGGATCATAGTTTGCTGGCGAAACAGATTGGAGTGCCCATAAATAAACCTTGCACTGTTTTCCAAAAGAGGCAAAGTCAGTGCTACAGCAGGTGGGATTGCATCCAGAAAGTGAGTGCTTTGCATATACAATTACTCATGAGAAATAAGTCTGATTTTGTTCCCGCTTATTTGCACATAGCAACATAACATTTTCAAGCAAAGGCACTGGACCACAAACTCTTGAACAACGAGAAAGATTTATAGCTGACTTAATTTGTTTGGTTTCCAGTCAGGCAGTAATGCTTCTTTTTCAGTTCAAAATCTGTGTGGATCTTATCTAAAGCTTTAAAAAGTGAGCAAACAACATCTGCTGATACCAAAGTGGTACTTGTTTTCTATAAACTATCTGTTGTGGGGAGGAATAATTTTTAAAGAAAGGTTTGCACTAGTGATTAAGGAAGCTTGCAAGTGTGTTTACTGTATTAAAAAGTAATTTCTTTACCAGTGAACAATTAATTGCATTTTCTGTCAATATATGTTCTTAATATTGGTTCATATGTAGCTGCATGTACATATGAAATAATGAATTTGACAGTAAAACATCAAATATAGTGAAATATAATGGGAGGAGATAAATGAGTGACAAATGAGCCCACTATGTTCTCTTACCAGGTGCAAGGAGTTTTAAAGGAGCCCAGTATAAAAAGCACTCCAAGTTGTATCTAGACTTATAGTGGCAATCCCATCCATGTCTATTCAGTAGCAAGTTCCACTGAATTCACTGGGGTAACTTTAAGGGAATCCTTAAATGTTTATGAATTTAACTGCAAACAATGCAGTTAAGTAATCAGGTAATGTGGCTAGGTAGGCAGCAAGTTAACTAAGATGCCTTGCTCCTAGGGTACTATCTGGAAATGAAAGTTGTATTGAAAACCAGGACGTTTTCTTCTGAGTAAATATGCTTATTATGACCAGTGACGATACTACATTGGCTGCCTATTTGTTTCCAAGCACCATTCAAAGTGCTAGCTTTGACCTATAAAACCCATACTCACACCCAGAACACCATACATTAAAAACCTTTCCTCAAAGAATCCTGGGAACTGTAGTTTGCCCTGGGCATTGTAGCTCTTGTGGGCAAACTAGTTTTCAGGGGGAGTGTTATCCAGAATGCCTTGTTTATTCAGATCATCTATTAAGTCCCTACCAATCTGGGAGTGCAATGCACTTCCCATAGAAATCAGTGGCCAAGCTTCCACTGACACAAATGGATACACATTTACCCAGTTCTATCTTTTCCTCTGATCTATTTCATCATTTAATGCACTACAATCTCTTATTGCCTTACTGAAGTTTCTTAAGCAATGTTATCAATGATTTTGATCAACAAAATATACTTTGCAAGAGCTTTTCTTGCTAGATTAAAGCAAGCCTCCATGTGAGAGAACAGCATTAATTAATGTCAGTAAGAGCCAAACTAGATGCAACACAGGAGGTGTATAATCAGATCTCCTGATGTCTTTCTTTGTTGCTTAAGAGCAGCTGTGTGAGAGCAACAGAACTCAGATTTGAGCTGTAGCATGACGGAGTGAGGTATTTACGCATCTCTTTGCACTGTTTGTTCACTTTAAATTGTCCTGTAATTAACCAGGGTGCAAGCAGGGAGACCAATATCCATATTTTACAGCTACCCATGTTGTACAAAATAAACGAGTGTATTAAGACTTACCAGCACCACAGAACAAAATATACTGTATATTGTACAATGAGCATACTAAGGAAAGTAGCTCACAACCCGTACATGTTCCTTTGCCTCAGTTTGTGTGTGTGGCCTTAACCCAAACTTGAATTCTGCTTTGTTTAGCTGGAAGAGCACCACCTAAGGCAAATGTCATCACTTCTCCATCCATCCAGAGTGACAGAAACACCTCACAGAGAGCCACTCCTTTACGTCTCCTCAACAGTGGATGGTCACATCTTATGTGTTGGCCAAGATGGATTGGTTTCCATTTGGAGTGCAAACTTAAAACTGAAGAAAACCTCTCTGATTCTTGTGAGTTTAAGAAGTGAGGTATTATTTAAAGACTGTGATATTTACTGATAATAGGTGTAAGATCTTCCTACTGAGGCTAAAATGAAAAGGAGATTGCTTTTCTGCTGTCCTAACAATCATTATCATTTTCTCCCAACACATTCACTCATGACTGTATTTCTCAAAATGATGTCAGCCAAGTATAATTGTGATGAAATTAACTCTGACAAATGTATATATGCTTGTCTCTACACCGAACCAGACAGATTAAAGGATGATATGAGTTATGTGGGTCTATGGTATCGTCTAAGGCAGGCTTTCTCAACTTTCGGTCCTCAGATGTTGTTGGACTACAGCTTGCATCATCCCTGAGTGCTGGTCATGCTAGCTTGGGATGATGGGAATTGTAGTACAACAACACCTGGGTTGAAAAAGTCTGGTTTAAGGAGCCAAAAGGTTGAACTATGAAATAAGAGAAGTATTTTAGCAGACCCTGAATTGGTAAATCCACAAAGGTTTGGGAGCATACCACTTACCGTATGTTCTTAACGTTCTGTCAAAGGATCAAGTCAAACACATGCATGCACAGAGGCTGACATGCAGAAGGGTTTATATGCCTGTTGCTAACAAAAGGTGCTGCCTTCATTCTGAAAATCGTGGGATAACCAGCCTCATATAACCACCATGCTTAAATGTAATTAATGCATCAAGGGGTTAAGGCCATTGACTAAGTTGTCCTGCCAGACTTAGCTCACCTTGGGAGGGACTAGGTAATCAAGCCTTTGTTCCCCCTCACTCTACCTGAGAAGCCCAGCATGTGAAGAGGCTAAGCTGGAGCAATCATGGCTCCAACAAGCCACTCAAGTTCCTATACCAATAATTTAGAAACTTTCACTACTGTAACCAAGCCAAGTTTTACTGCCTGTGCAACTTTTTCTGAATGCTGTATAGAAAAGTACACGAATCTGACCTTTGGAGAGTTTGTAAGTAAACAATTTATAATTCACCAAACATGTGGTCTTTTTCTATACTAGGGGAAGTTTTGAACCTCACAAAAGAATAACAGCCTATATTTTCACACTTTACTTTGCTGCATGTTTTGTGTTTTTAAACTTCAGCTGAGGTTCTGTCACCAAATAATACTTGCCCCAAGCCTGGACCCTGGCATCCAAGGAATTCTCCTTTATGTATTTATTTTTTCCACAGCACAAAAAAAGACAATGGGCATTTGTTTCAGAAGGATTAATAAAAGGCAGAAAAGAGGAAAAAGTGAGGAAATGGGGGGAGGGGTGCATATAAAACAGGAAACAGAACAAGAAATTATCTTCAAGATGCATATAAAACAGGAAACAGAACAAGAAATTATCTATCAAGTCAGAAGGCAATTTTTAAAAAACCCAGGGACATTTATTTGGAGATTTCCTGTGCCTTAGTTTGAGAGTTCCTTGTTCAATTAACATTTCTATGTGCTCATTGGAAGCTGCAACTGCTTTTAACTTGGTTGTTGGCTACCACCACACCAACAAATCACAAGTTTTTTCATAGGTTGTTACATTCAGGGCTTTCTTATTGCTGCTGCTTCCATTAGAACAGCCTCTGGCCTGGTTCAAATATAATGCTAAACCACAGTGTGATTGAGTCAGGGGGAAGAGGCATGTTAAAGCACTGTAGTCTGTTAATTTGGCTGTATTTTGGGGAGCGCCGGGCCATTTTTCCCGCTGGATTCTGCCCCACAGCTTATCAGACTTGGCAGCTGAATGATGCACATCTGCTGATAAATGAGAAGGTGGCAGCACATCCCCAGGCCCCTGCTCCAGTGGCTGACACATGGTTTTAGTAAACTATATTTTATTAAACCATGACTTTGTGTTCTATGCGAACCTAGCCCAGCGGCTTAACTACGGTTGATATGTTTCAGTTTAGATCAGACTTTTGACCATGTTCTCTTTTGGAGTCTAGGATGAAAATGAAAACAAACTACAAAACAGGAGGCTAAAGTGGGTTTCCGACTCTATTTTAATGGCCCATTACAACAAGCTAATTATTGGAACCTGGTACGTAGTCAATTTCTGGGTTTCTAAGTATGATGGATATGCTACTACCATTTGAAAAGTGTCACAGAAATTTCACAAATTTGTTCCTAATTCTATAAAATACGAACATATTTGTATAAAATGTGAACAGCAAACAAGGAAGAGAAAATGGTAAGCAACACACCTTGTTCATGTTGATGTTATCTTGTTTCATTATGGTTAATACAAAGTATTTATAGTTTGCTTGGAGTAAATAGGCAGTAAACTATAAGGTGCTGTTCCAGGTACAAGCCACAGGACTCAGCTATACAGCTGCGAAGAAAACGTTTTGAATGTGTTGTCAAGTGCAATATACAATTGTGATACTAGATGGAGATGGCGAGCTATAGCAAATTCAATGCATTTTTCAAAACGATTTAAAAAAAAAGATTTTCACAGTGTTTTAAACATGTGTGTAGATTCCACCCGAGCCTCTGTGAGTCTGCTTCAGAATAAGTGGCCTGTAGGTATTTTAATGTTAATTCACTGCAGGAGCATACCTGTGGTGTTAGTGCTGACATTTTGGATTTTTCTGCTTATATGGTTGATTTCAATATGGCAGCACCCATTTCAGAACCATGGAGATACAGGAGAGAAATGGTGTTGGAGTCTCTTGGAGTTCTGTGGCAAACCAGGAATCTTTTCTCATCCACACTCCTTGCCCTTTAGACATCTATTATAATTCAGCTGATGTCAAGTAAAGAAAACAAATTATTGTTGTTTAATCAATGCTAAATCTGAATCCACCATACAATGCAAAATGAATCTGTTGAGTTTTGTCTAACACAAGAACTAAAACAAGCTGTTTTTAAATTAAAGGTGGAGTGAAAATTGTAGTTTATTAACATCAACTGGCTTTAAAAAGCAACATTTACTGGGCTTTAAAAGTGTTTAATTAACATTGTGTTTTACAGTAACAGAGAGATACGACTCTATGAGCTCTCCAACTTGGAACCGTATTGCCAAATTGTGGCCCTTGAAACAATGCCTCTGTGTTTGGATTACAGGTATAGTTTGGACTCAACAGTCTTAACCAAATTACATCCACCCACCCCCCAGTTTATATACCTTTCCCGTGAATATAGAAGAAAGAAGACATATAGTTATTTTTTATTTCTAACATTTACTATATTATATTGAGCTTGGATGAGACTAAAACCTATTAAGGAGCAGAAATACAGAATTAACGCCATCTGATTAACTGCAGTTCTTATTCTGTTCTAATAGCAATGGAAAAACATACAATCCAACTGCCTCTGTTTACCAGGGACAGCCTGTCCTTTCTTATGCCTGTCCCAATTTTCCTCCTCTTTTACGCTTCTTGGGACTCTTATACAGCTGCAAATAAAATGTTTCAAGTGTGTTGTAAAGTGCAATATACAAATGTGACATTAGATGATGATGGTGAGGTATGGCAAATTCAATATACTTTTAAAAAAGCATTTTCACAGCGTTTTTTTAAATATGTGTGTGGATTCCACCATGGAGATGCCTTGTTTAAAATTTCATTCATGGAAGATCTTCAGGGTTCAGCTCTGCCCCGCCAGCATTTCTAGAAGTTAGACCTCAGAGAGGGGGAATAGACCCATCTTGGCTTTTGTACACATGTATTTATACATTGCATTTGTATTCTTCTTTTTCTCCAAGGAGCTACTGTATGTATTAGCTATGATCAGGGTAGAAGCTTTATTTGAACAAATTACAGACAGACTGTATAATGCTTTTTCTTCCTGTTTAAAGTGTTCGGGGAGAAGGTGAATGCGTGATATCATATGGTGACGAGCAGGTATGTTGATAAGGTTTGGTATGTTTTAATTCAGATATAAACTGAGAAGATGGCACAGCTAGAACTTACTGAGTTTTGCAGTTTGTTTCTAAGAAAGGTATCCACAACTTGTAAAAATGAAACACACAGAATATAGGTTTAAATATAAGCAGAGATTTTTTTGCTGTTGGGCATTTGCTGCAGGATATAGACTACCCTTCTTCTCCTGTTCTTTTAAAAGGTAAAGGTACCCCTGACGTTAGGTCCAGTCGCAGATGACTCTGGGGTTGCGGCGCTCATCTTGCTTTATTGGCCAAGGGAGCCGGTGTTTGTCCACAGACAGCTTCCGGGTCATGTGTCCAGCATGACTAAGCTGCTTCTGGTGAAACCAGAGCAGCGCACGGAAACACCGTCTACCTTCCCGCCGGAGCAGTATCTATTTATCTACTTGCACTTTTTGGTGTGCTTTCGAACTGCTAGGTGGGCAGGAGCTGGAACCAAACAACGGGAGCTCACCCCGTCGTGGGGATTCGAACCGCCGACCTTCTGATTGGCAAGCCCTAGGCTCAGTGGTTTAGACCACAGCGCCACCCGCTGTTCTTTTAACCAATAGTTAAAAATGACCTTAGGCATATGTTGTAGTGGTAATAATGCTGATTATAAATCTGGGTACTGATATGGTGGCATTTTGTTCAATACAGGGCTGTGTTAATATCCTGTTGATCAGTTCTGTGGCAGAAACACTGAGGTACGTGACAGTTTGACCAGGCCTATGTGGATTTTAACACAAAGTGTTACCCTATTCCCAGGCACTCTTTCAACATCTCTGGCATCTCCAGACTGTAGTCTAAAATGCTGGAGAGCCTCTACCAGTCTATGTGGACAATATTGAGGTAGATACACCATGCCTTGCTTCAGAAATGGCTTCCCTGTAATCCTTAAAAAAAAAAATATAGTCATATCCACACCATACATTTAAAGCAAATGACTTAACCTAAAGAACCATGGGAACTGTAGTTTCTTAAGGGTATAGGAATTGTAGCTTCAGGAACTATACTTCCCAGGATTATTTGGAGGAGGGGGTCCATGTGATTTAAATGCCCATTACAGTGGTACCTCAGGTTACATACGCTTCAGGTTACAGACTCCGCTAACCCAGAAATAGTGCTTCAGGTTAAGAACTTTGCTTCAGGATGAGAACAGAAATCGTGCTCCGGCGGCACAGCAGCAGCAGGAGGCCCCATGAGCTAAAGTGGTGCTTCAGGTTAAGAACAGTTTCAGGTTAAGTACGGACCTCTGGAACGAATTACGGTAAGTACTTAACCTGAGGTACCACTGTATTTGTGTTTTCAATATATGGTGTGGATGTGACCTTCCACTAACATGGCTTCAATCCACACTGGATGGGTTTGGATGATGTGGAGTCCTCAAAAAAGCATCACCAGCCTCTGTCCGCAGAATGATGTCAAGTTCACTCCTCTCATGTGCACTGGTGGAGGAAGAGGAGTGCGGGGGGAGTGTACCGCCCCTGGCAGCGTGATCCCAGTAGAGTACCATCAGTGCACTCCGCCCCCAGGATGCACCCCAGCCCCGCCTGCTCTCAACCCCCCCCCCGGTGCCGAAAAATGAAGCTCCGCCACTGCTCGTGTGGAGCTCCCAATTCTGCCCACCAAATTGTGGGCAGAAGAATTCCCACCAGCGGTAGCCCATTCTGCAGGTAGCGAGAGTGACAGTTATTTGCACATTTGTTGGCATGCTTCCTTAAAGCTCCTTTAAAACAAAACAAAATCTATTGGGGCATTATTGCATCAAGACAAAGTTTGCGAGAATAATTTCCTAGATTGCTAATTCAGAATAGTATGTTTGGTGGTGAATCCAATATTGTCTGCGTTTCATTCTTCCATCCTAACAGTGTGTGTGTGTGTGTGTGTGTGTGTGTGTGTGTGTGTGTTCTGATAGGAATTGGACAAAATATCCACCCGTGGAAGAAATCCCAACCATTTCTGCCAATGCTATTTATGAGCAAGAAAATATCACCTTCATTCGCTGGAAGGTTCATAATGACTGGGTTACCAAGGTAAGAGAACTTCAGACATTTGTGCTGTCTTCTACATGTTCAACTACTATCTTCTTTCTGTTAACTGTGAAGGATTCAGATAATTATTTCCCATGAGCAAGTGGGTGCAGTTGTTTGCATCTGCTTTGAAGAGGTTTTTGAGGAGTATTCTTATTTCACGATCCCACAATATTATTTGTAAGATCATTTCTGCACAGCACATCTTACCTCACCTGCTTTTGGGAAGGTTGTGCTTCTCCTTGCTTTCCCCAGATTTGCCTTTGTTGCTCCATGGTATTTTCCTGGGATATCCTTGGGACACTCTGAATTTCATAGGATTTTCCTTTGCACATTTGCTATTGCAGATTCAATATATCCCTTCTATGGAATCCGTCATCTCTAGTTCAAATGATGATTGCACTGCACTGGTTATAGGTAAGTTGGGCATTCTCTAGCAGAATAAACATGTCAGAATTTGAAGTTGAAGTAAGATTTAATAAAAGATAGCGGTCATTTCTCCTTCACTTTTTTTTAAAGAGGATAGTTTATTTTAGTTGATCTCATTGTTATCTAGCCTATCTTCCAAGGAGGTCAGGGCAACAGATGTGCTTTCTTCTGCTCACTCTCTATTTTGTCTTTTCAAAAGCACTTTCTGCGTAGAGTAGCACGAAAGATAGGGACCGACCTAAGGACTCAACCAGAGTCACGTGACTCAAATGGTTGAACAATGTTTTGAACCCAGGTACTCTTGGTTTAAGTCCTCATTCCACTATGTTATTCCTCCCCAACAAATGTGCAGAAAATTTGTTCATAGGAGCACAAAGAGATGCCTTATACCAAATCAGACACCTGGTCCATCTAGCTCAGGATTGTCAACAGTAATTGGCAGTGGATCTCTATGGTTTCAGGTCAAGAGTGTTTCCCAGCCCTACCTGGAAGCACCCAGCAGTGAACCTGGGAGTAGAGATGGAAGGATCAGTCAGTTTCATTTTCTCTGTTTCTCAGTTGCGCACCCCGGAAATGATGTCTTTCAGCTTCTGCCTTCTGGAAGAAGGTACAGGGTTATAAAGACTAGGACTATGCGCCTGAGAAACAGTTTCTATCCAAATGCAATTTTGGTTTTAAACGCAGTGTAAGGTAGTCTCTATGGGAGTATCTTGTATTTAATTATGGGGTATCAGAGTTTTTAGAGGGCTGCCCAGGCTGGGATAGCAGGCTTGTTGGTTTTTGAATGTTGATGTAGATTTTTTCAATTTCGTTGTTCTGTATGGGACAATGACAATAAAGATTATCGTATTGTATTGTATCGTATGTCTCCCAATGTTAAATTCAGTTGTCCACATTTTGCAGCAATTTGCAGTTTTCCTTCTTAATTGTTTTTCATGAAAATTCATCAGCATTTTAGTGTGAATTTCTCCTAATAAGCACATTTGAAGTTTTGACTCGTGCACATTTTTGCAAGCAAGTTCCCTAATATACGGTATGCATTTTTGTAAACATTGGTTGCAGAACTGCATTGGATCAATGCAAATTTTGAAGGATAGCTGTGTTTCGGCTTGCATATTATTTTGGAAAATATGAATTTGATAGATTTGGCTTTAAATGCACACTGAATTGAATTTCTCCTCCCTGGCGACCTGGAACTTTGCATGGAAAGCATATGCTCTACCACCTGAGCTTACAGCCCCTTTCCTAGGAATGGAATCAATTATCTCTCTACCTTGAGGGCTTTCAGTTTGTCTTCTGTTAAGTTGTGAGCGAACATATCAGACGACACAGCGATTCTTCCAAAGCAGCTCTTTATTTGTAAGCTGGAACAGAACTGAGCTGAGGGGCTCAGTCAGCCTGCTTATATAGAGCTCCAGAACAAAGTAACTGTTGCCATTTTCTAAAACTATCCAATCACTGAACGTCACTTTCGATCCTTCATTTGCATAACTATCTACAGTATCCCCCTGCTGGCCCAGGGTGAGAACTTCATTACATAACATCTTCCTTCCCTTCCCATGCAACTCTTCTGTTTTCTTGTCACAGGTTACGTTAGCAGAACCAAAAATGTGAAGCATCGCTTGAAAACTCTGATGGGTTCCAGCACTGTCAGCCATAACAAATTCGCCCCACCAGCTACTGCTTCTCCAGCAAGGCGCTTTCAGTGTGATGAATCTGTTTTTAAGGTGCACAAAGGAGTCAAGACCTTTGACTTCTGCAGAGAAAGCAATATTCTTGTGACTGGTGGTTTGGACCGGAATATCCGTCTATGGAACCCTTATGTCCCTGGGTAAATAAAGCTAAAATGGGTTAAAACTTGCCTATTTCTATCCGTTTGCTAGCTGATGGCTTTGAAGTATTTTTTAAAAGCTATCATTATGTTGTTTCAATGCAAACGTTCTTCACAGAAGAGCAAATCTTTAAAGAATTGTTCCAAACCGTAATGTGAATATGTGCATGTGTTTGCAACTGCAGGCTCTTATGTTTCAGCCCTAGACATATGTAAAAGTGAAAATACTTTGTTGGTGTGAATATAAGCCACCTCCAAATATAGACTTTACCCGTAAAATGAGAACCTTGCTTCTCTGCCTTAGCCCGATTATAGGGCTTTATACAAGCCACATTGGTGGGGGAGGGAAGTGCAGCCTATATTCAGACCAATATGGTAAGTCTTTTGGATGCTGCTGTTGTCTATATAGTGTGCATGTTGCCTCTACACAGAGTGCATCAGAACAGGGCCCTGCCCTGAGGAGCTTACAATGCCTTAGCCCAATTATAGGGCTTTATACAAGCCACATTGGTGGGGGAGGGAAGTGCAGCCTATATTCAGACCAATATGGTCTTTTGGATGCTGCTGTTGTCTATATAGTGTGCATGTTGCCTCTACACAGAGTGCATCAGAACAGGGCCCTGCCCTGAGGAGCTTACAATTTAAATAAAAAGAATAAAAAGTGGAGGTAGAGAAGCAGCAGGTGGTTGACTCAGTGACAATTAACCTTCCCTGTGACAAAGTGTTATTAGATGGATTTCACACATGCCACCCAGAAGCACTTCTGAGGCGCTCTCATGCTATTCATGAGCATATATGGCAGACAGAAATGCAGTTTTTAATGCACTCATATTGGGCTTTTAAATGGATTGGTGGCTGGGGAGGGAGGTGTATTCACAATTGCATTTCAACCTTACTGTGAATAGAAGTGCTTTATCTTATTAATTTTAAAGAAATCTATAGGCTCTCTGATGCTTGATTGCTGAGCAAACTACTCCTAAGTTAACCAAAAATATGTTTGCCACTCACTAGGTGGCCGATTGCAATACTGCGAGGACATACTTCCCCAATTGGTTTCCTATGCATTGCTCATGGCAGTACAAATATTTTCTCAGTTTCTCTGGACAGCACCATCAAGGTAAGGGTTTTGATCAGCAATGAACTGCTTGGTTTATTACTACTAGTACAGTTTGTTTGCCACCCTTCATCCAAACCCCAGGGTAGTTCACAACAGAAAGATGCAAAATGAGAACACAAAATACATAATACAGTGGTACCTCAGGTTACATACGCTTCAGGTTACATACGCTTCAGGTTACAGACTCCGCTAACCCAGAAATAGTACTTCAGGTTAAGAACTTTGCTTCAGGATGAGAACAGAAATCGTGCTCCGGCAGCGCGGCAGCAGCAGGAGGCCTCATTAGCTAAAGTGGTGCTTCAGGTTAAGAACAGTTTCAGGTTAAGTACGGACCTCCGGAACAAATTAAGTACTTAACCCGAGGTACCACTGTAAAACAAAAACCAATAACCCCGACCCACAAACACATAAAAAAGCCATAGAATGTTCATCAGTCAAATGCCTGGTTGAAGGGAAACATTTTTGCCTGGCACCTGAAGATATGTAATGATGGCACCAGGTGAGCCTCCCTAGGGAGAGCATTCCATAAATGGGATTTTAGAAGACAGAATGTCACCATATGACCACATAGCCTGGATTCTGTGGATTGTCTATAATAAGTGTGTCTAAGTACGGATCTCTGTGTGCTCTGCCATTGAACTATCGTGCCTCCTCTGCTTGCATCAAACACAGAACAAATATTGCACATCCCTGCCAAGGTTTCTTCAGTGTGGTATCATATGCAATTGCCATGGTGTCATATGAAATTGCCAGTCATGCTTGTCTCGTGTGCCAGATGGCCTATTCATCCCAAGCAAGGAGTCACTATAATGTCCGGGGGTGCGGGCGGAGATGTCACAACTCGGGCAATCAGACACACCCCGAAATGTAGGTTTGGGCTTTTCTCTCTGTGTGTGGTTTAGATTCCCAGATACAGGATTTTGCAACATACGGTCTACCTAACACCTGAAACCGGCACGGAATGTTTAGTAGTGTCAGAGTCAGTGATCAGTACTAAAAAGTAGAAGGAATGGTGGATGGAGATAATGGTAGCCATAGAATTAAACCTCTGCACAAGCAGCTACCTCTTCCTAGAGGTACAGTTCGCACTTCCAGTATTGCAATATGATTGCTTCTCAATTTGCTAGAAAGGAAGTAACAGCTGGAGGCTTCCTTAGGTGTTCGGTGAATCCATTTTTCTCTCACACAATTTTATCCGCATGTGTTATTGAACAACCACAAAGTGCTAATAGGTCTTATCAGTCACGAAGAATGGCAAAGCACTGTTTTCACTTGTAAGATTTCACTTTTCTGAAAGTTCTGCCTCATGGAACTCAAAATCTTAATGTCTTAATACCTGGGAAAGAATCAGAGGAGATATATGTATATATTGTGACAATCTCAGGAGATAACTGGGCTGATCAATTTATTTTTTCAATCATTTACCATGGGACAGTTTTGTGCTATCAGGGCAATAGGTTCGTGATATGGGTGACAGCTTTTCTGAACTCGTATATTTCTTCTCAAAGGTCTGGGATATTGAAGACCATTCCTGCCTCCTTACAGTCATGCCCAAAGCCAGCCAAATCAGAGGGGAGATGGAAGCCTGCTACTTTTCACCCGACTTGCAAGCCCTTTATGTTGCAGCTGAAACTTTTGGGCTCCTACAATTCCAATATAAGTAGGCAACAATATACCAATCTGCTGTAGACATTGAGTCAAGCACAATCTATGCATAGTTTCTTCTATGGGCAGTGTGTTTGAATGTTACTACATAAAATCAAATGGGTGGTGACCAATACATTGCTCCATGTAGAAGAGACATCGAAAACACATACGTTATGCGAGCACTAGCTTGAACAGCATTTTTAAATCAAAATTTACTATAGAGCAGGGTTTCCTAAACTTGGGTCTCCATCTGTTTTTGGACTACAATTCCCATCACCCCTGTCCCGCTAGCTAGGGATGATGGAGGTTGTAGTCCAAAAACAGCTGGATACCCAAGTTTGGAAAACCCTGCTCTAGAGCATGGCCCCCCAACGCCACTGCCTGTCATTCTCGTTTTGACACTCGAAGTGGTCAAAACACCACAAGCAAATAAGAAGTCCTGATTATGGCCCCACGTGTATCTCTTTTGGATTTAGATAAAAAACAGAGTCAGATATTTTCCTAGTCATGTAGTTCTCCAGTACATGACATTAAAAGAACTCAGTGCCTGCTGTGCAAAATATATTGAGATTAAAACATGTCCATATGCAGGCCATTTTCAGATTACTGGTTTGTGAAGCCATGAAACAGTGCCCTCTTTTACCCCTTCTCTCCTCCTGATGCAAATCCTTGTTTGCATGAAGCCAGAGTTTTCTGTTGCATCTGAACCAAGGAGCTCTGGGTGAGTGTTAGTATACAAACCAGGAAAGTGAACCTGGCATTAAGGCAGAGTGTCCCCAGTTTGGATGTAGCAAGAGACTCTAGTTTAATGCACACCAGGAGCTTCACACCAAAGCTGGCGCACAACAGGAAGAGGGTAGGGTCACCTATCCATGGCACTCATGCACAGCTTCATAAATCATAAATCTGAACACAGCCCCAGTGTACCTCTCCTCTTCGTCATCTTGTGGTGCTATCTTTTTCAGGGAGAATCAGAACCAAGATTCAGGCACATCCCATAACAAGCCTATCTTTTGCTGCCAGTATAACCAGCAACTGCAGCATGTGATTAGTTGCTCAGAAGACTCCGTAAGTAACCCTGAGACTATGACCCAGTTTGTGTGCAACATTCCTGGCCTTACAAACCATCATTTATTAGCCATACAATTAGTATCAAGTACACACAGTCCCTCTTCTTTTGCCTTGCCTTCCCCCTTTGTGCTGGCTTCAGAACATTGACCCTGGCCTCTTTAAACTACAGCTTCTCACTATGTCCAAAATTGTGGCTTAATATCAAGTTATTAACTAAGCTTTTACAACTGTGGTTTAAGATCTTGGTTTGTAAACCAGCTTTATGACACAGTGCATCATTTCAGATGTCACGGAGACCTGTAACTTCAGCAGATCAGAATCAAAGTGCTGAAGCTGGCACATGAAGGGAAGCAGCAGTGGTGGAGAGCATGTGGGCCTAATTCTCATTCCCAGTTTAATAAACTGTGGCTTATTAGTCCAGAAAGGCAATGTCTGAAAAGGTCCACTGTGGCAATGCTGCATGAGAACCCTTAAACAATTTAAAACTTGTTTGGTTTTTTGGGTGTCAGAAATACCTGCTCTCCCTATAAGAATTAAACATATTAATAGGTGCGGCAGAAATCACCTTTCTGGGATTTCTTGCCATACCCAAGTGGTAGCAAGCAGTGCTTGAAAAGCCAGCTTTAGGACAGAGAGGTGGATTCTGATGCCTTTACTCCCTGCTGTCCCAGTTCAGGTGAAACTTTTACATCTTCAACAGTTAATGCTAATTTTATTCTGAATTTTAGAAATAGTTTATAGGCATCTTTTCTTGTGACCTTTAAGCTTCCTCATTTCCTTGCTTTATGTTTATTTATTTATTCAGCATGAGAGAAGAGAGATCAGTCCTCAGTTCCCCACTCCTATCCCTTTTATTTCTTCTAATAGGTTATAAAAATGTGGGATCTTAAAACTGGACAGCTGATTGTTAAAGTGCGTGAAGCTCACGGAGGAGCTGCTGTAACTTGCATGGCCTTAGATACCATTGGAAAGAGGTATTCAATATCTAGTTATCATCAGATTAACAGAATTACACCTTCTAACCTCCAAAGAGCACACCTCCACCACCAGGGTTTTGGAGGCAAGGAGGTATAATTTGTTGAGGCTGGCTTGTGTCGTATTTGTTGCTGTTTTCTGTTGTTTTAATTTTGCTGTGTTTGTACCGATGTCCTAATTGATTTTAGAAATAGGTATTGGTGTGTTTTAATGCTTTGCACACCGCCTGGGGACTGTATTGTGTAGGGCAGTCTAGAAATATATATGCACATGCACTAGCATCCATGCACACTCACATAGATATACAAGAGCAGCCAGCAGGGAGGGGCAGCAGCGCTTCCCTGATCTCCCAGGATGTACGTTGATTCAGCTTCCCAGAAGGTGGAAGAATAAGGATGCAAGGAGGTGGAATGCATTGGTACTGCACCAATCTCCCCGCCACCTTGTCCCATTGCCTCCTGGAAAGATGTGGAGATGCTTCTGGCAGGTAGGTACCACCAGCCACACCTATAGATACAGGTAGAGTTGAGTTGTGTTCTCCTTGCTCCTTATTATGATATTCTCCAGCTGTCAAACTTAGAGCTCTTTCAGAGTTAGTTTTTTTGGAGGGAAGGTAATAATATCCAGGTAGGAAAATGCTTCTGATGCAGTCATGGACTGAGCAGATGTTAAGTTTATCAATGTCTGCTCTGTTATCTATGGACACCCCCCCACACACACTCCCTGTCCTCAAGCCTACTTTCTCACTATTAGCAGGTCTAGGGAGCTCTTGTCAGCAGGTCCCCTGTTGGGACGGTGAGTCATCAACAGATGCCTAACCATGCCAATACTTGATCCTGAGCATCAGAAGATTGATGTAGATATGTGTGGGTGGGAAGCATCAACAATGCAATGTGCACAGCATGATCAGCAGGAGGTACAAAGCCAGTAAGCTGAATAGACAACAGTTTTACCAACAATTTTCTATACTGTCAGTTGTCATTAATTCAATTGCCAGTTTGCAATTCCATTACAATGAACAGTTTCCCCCTGCTGTCTAGGTTGATCACTGGTGGCGCAGATGGCAGTCTGAAGAAATGGGATAGCAGCACCCTTGGATACATGCATACCATTAAGCAAGGTAGAGAGCTAATGGCCAGCCTCTTAGTTTCTCTGATATTTTGCCAGCAACTGCAACATGATCATCATTTGCTCTCTCTTTCAGCTTTCAGTTCAGCTGACGAAGTCACTGCTTGCACCTATGCTGATCTTTACGACAACAGGTACAAAGGATGTTGTTGTTACTATTTTAAAAATGAAAAGTATAAATGGCTAAGAAAATACAAATAAGCTGGGAAGAGGTCTCTACCGAATGATATTATAGGAATAATTTGGACACCTGCAAGATGGACGTATCAGACAATTCAGCCAGTTGAAACACACACAAACTCTAGCAGCATAGAAAAGTATTGAACCTATCATGGAATCTCCTGCAGTTAAATCAAGTTATCCAAGTTATCTTCAGGAAAGACTGTGCATATTTTGTATGCAATTTGCATAGGTGGGGAACCTGTGACCCTGCAGATGTTGCTAGACTCCATTTACCATCATTCCTGACCATAGGCTATACTTCCTGGAGCTAGGCTTCAAGTCCAACAACATCTGGGAAGACACAGCTTTCTCCTCCCTCCTGTGCACACTTACTTGGCAGTAAGGCAAATAAAAAATAGAGTTTTACCCCTGAGTAAGAATTTTATGGGGCATACTTGCATCTGAGTGTTTGGGTTTCCAACCTTAGTGTTTTAAACTTACAGTGGTACCTTGGCACTTACAGTGGTACTTTGGTGTCAAATAAATTGGCTCCTGAACGCTGCAAACCCGGAAGTGTTCCAGTTTTCAAACGTTTTTCGGAAGCCGAATGTCCAACACGGCTTCTGCTTGAGTGCAAGAAGCTCCTGCAGCCAATTGGAAGCCGTGCCAATTGGTTTTCAAACAGTTTCGGGAGTCGAACGGACTCTTGGAATGGATTAAGTTCAAGAACTGAGGTACCACTGTAGTGTGTTTATAGCCCTTACACTTGCTGAAAATAAATGTAACATTTGTGAAGGTGGGTACAGGTAGATTAAGGATGATAAATCATGCCAGTCAGCGCGAAATAAGCCATTGTTTGTTTAGCTTCTGAATTCTTATATACATATGAAAATCAGTGATGCCACACTGCTTATGTAGTTTTTTCCTTTTAGGATTGAGCACAAAAGGTGTTATATTAGAATTGGCTGTCCTCTTTAAATAACATGTTTCAATTTTTTAAAAGATACATCATCTCTGTTGGATGGGGCAGGAAGATCAGTATTTTCCTAGTAAGTATAAATTAATGTTAAGTTTAGTTGCTCCACTATAAGATGTTGGGAAGGCCAAAAATGGGAAATTTTAGGTGTTCCACAATGAACTCAGTAAGAAATTGGAAGCCCAGAATAACTATACCAGCATTGTGCACCCGAAAGACGGACAGGCATCTAATATGGAGAATGACTTGTTCAGGATAATGGACACCTGTCTGAGCAGGTTTCTGGAAATTTTTTTGTCCAATCAGTTCATAGAGCTTTTCCTTACAGCCAATGACTTCTTTGAGTAGTATGAACAGTTCCCATTCCCTCTTAATACTGCAGACATGAACAGAAAGTGTGATGTCTATATGTGCATAAGTATGACTGGTTTATTGGAGGCTATTAGTAATGACAACTACATGTTCAAAGGCAGAATGCTTCTAACAAATGCCAGGGAGCACAACTAGGAGTGGGGTGTTTCCTTCAAGATATCCCATGTAGGCTTCATCAAGGCATCTGATGGGTCACTGGAGGAAGTTTTGGGGAATGACTGTAGCTCAGGGACAGAGCACAGTCTTTATGTGCAGAAGGTCCTAGGTTCAGTCACCAAGTAGGGTTGGGAAACACTTCTGTCTGAAACCAAGGTTAGCTGCTGCCACAATACACATCTCATTGGATTGATTTTGTGGCTTGGTATAAAACAGTTTCCTATGCTCATTTCTAAGTATGATGCCAGATTATATGGATCTTTGGTCTAACCCAGTTGGCTGTTATTATGTTTCTAATCTCTATTATATGGCTCCCCCACCCCAAATCAGAATTGTCTTGTGTCTACAGCTGATCCTGCCTACCCCATGGATGTGAATGAAAGGCAAAGTTGTCTGACAATATTTTTCAGTTTCTATAGCTCCAGCATTGCCTTTTTCTAGAAATATGAGTAGTACCAGTAGCACTGCTTTGACACACATTATTAACCTATGTTTAAGTAAAAAAATAAATAAATTTGTTTATCCATGAAAGAATTATGAATCTCTGGAACCAAAGATGGAACTGAAAAGTTTTTAATTTCAGGATATTGATGATGAAGTCGTTGAAGGCTCATACCCACAACTGGACTGGATTAGAAGTATGGTAAGATATTAACTTGCAGTGAGAAATGGTAGTTAAACATGAATAAAAGTTGAAAAGATTTCTACATGAATTTGCTTAGAGCAGAGCAGGGCCACCCAAATGTTGCTAAACTACAGCATCTGTTATCCCTTTCCGTTAGCCATGCTGGATGGGACTGATGAGACTTGGGAGACCAATAACATCTGGAGAGCCAGAGATTCTCTACTCTTAGTTTAGAGCATAAGATACACCCCATGTGTGCTTGATAGGGTAATGACTGCATGATAATAACCACTTTGCCATTGCACCATGCAGGAACAGGGCCACAAGGACGATATTTTATGTGTAGCTTCGTGTCCTCCACATTTCTTGGCCACTTCTAGTTTTGATGGTGAAGTTCTCATATGGAATCTGGTATCGGGACATCTCTGCAGCCGTCTTCATGCTGTAGAAAGAGCATCAAGGGAAGGAGAAACAGGTGAGTAGGATTAGACCTTTTGCTGTGCTAAAATAAAAGCTTAAAAGAACTCACAAGGTGTGGTGAGAGAAGTGAAAAACGAAGAATGTACAGTGTCAGTAATGAAAATGTTTTAAAAATGGACTTCTTGTCTGTGCCACCACAAATGGTAAAAAAAAAGGATCTGTGGTAACTGGAGTAAATTGCACGGTAGGCTACAACCACTGCACAAACCTAGCTGACCAGGCAATAACCACTTGGAAGACATTTAAATATTATTCTGTGTGACAGCCACAGTATGTGCAAATTCCAGCCCCCATTGCTGTTGCTACATATTTTAAAGGGGAAAGTGGCTATGTTGATACACACAGGGTTTTTTTTTAATCTGGGTCTCCATTTCCAAGTACAAAATGTTGAGTTAAAAGAACTTAGACTCCCAAGTCATTTGGTGTGTTTTCAAATCACAAGATGAACCAAGTAGATTGAGGAAGCTGTGAGCAAATTTTACTATGTGACAAGGTGCCACACCTTTACCTGACGTACGGCAACATCCTCCCACACAGAACAATTAAAGCCGCTCTCCAAGGAGTGGTAATCATATGCACAGGTGGCCTCCATCTGCCTCCACTACTGACACCAGTCTCCCTGCCTGCTCACATAGTTGGTAAATGTTAGATGTGCACCATCTCAAACCTGGAGTGAGGGTGCTTCCTGTGAGAGTTTATTGTGGGAGCGCAGAGTCCACACAATGGAAATGTCACCCAATTGCCAGCTTCTGTGTACCTGCAGGTATATGTACCTGTGCCATCAATTGCGGATAACACCTCATTCATCCGATGAAGTGGCCTGTTGCCCACAAGAACTTACGTATGCTGTAGTAAATTTGCTAGTTTTGACGGCGCTACAAGACTGTGTGTGAGAGGAAGTGTCTTGTGGAGTCTCCTGGGTGAGCTGGGCTTGGCTTTACAGATTACAACAGTGAAATGCATTGCTGACAAATATCCTGTGCTGGTGTGAGATTGTGGAAATACTTTGTGCTGGATTGTGCTGGAAATGCTTTCATGGTTCGTTTTGTCCCCTCCCAGAGGATTTAACCATCAATAAAATCATTTTCCTCTTATCAAGGCTGGAAAAGAAGAAAACAGCTGCAATGTTAGTGGCTAGTGGACCTAGAGGTAAAGACAAAAGTTAAATAAATAAATGAATGAATGAATGAATGAATGAATGAATTAGTTAGTTAGTTAGTTAGTTAGTTAGTTAGGGGCTGGGGTTCAGAGGCCTGCATATGCTCAGATCCCATATTCTTCTCACGGCTCCAGGTACTCACCAAAAACCTGCTCACAGATTGGGGAACCTTTCAAAATGGCTGCCAATGCAGTGCAAGGGCCTGCAGTCCAAAGGGTGTTTCAGGGCCAGGCTAGGCAAGACACTATTCATACAACCATCAATTGTGTGAAAGGTTATTTGGGAGGCTGGGGGCTTGCATTCCCGCTGCATTCCTCACACCATATATTTAAAGAACATTGCTTCCCCACCCCCTTGAAATCTGGGAACTGCAGTTTACTCCTCACAGAGCTAAAATTTCCAGCACCCTTAACAAACTACAGTTCCTGGGATTCCTTAGGAGAAACAAAGCGTTTTAAATGTTGGTATGGATGTGATCCGACTATTGTCATTGGGAGAAAAAACCTACCATTGCAGCCATTAGAGCTTTCCTCTCAATCCAAATATCAGGCAAGCAGGGCAGGGAGGTGGGTGGGAACACCCCCATGGCACCTGAGGCTGTCATAAGTTGCAGCACTTGTGACTTTGATGGTGCAGCACCGTGGCCAAGAGACTGAGCTACGAATCAGGTGGAGCCCCCAGTCCAAAGCTCACCTCCGCCATTAACTCAATGGCTTTAGGTAAGAGTCTCTCCCTCTCTCCTTCAGTCCCCCCCCCCCATTTGCAATATGAGAGAGAATAATCCTGACTTACATGGTTACTGTAAGGATGACAGTTAGCTAATGCACAGGAAGCACTTTGAAGCACCTGAGAGTGATACCCAAATACAAAATATTATTAAGAGGATGTTGTTCAATCATTGACACTTAAGAGGCAATGCCTCTTAAGATTAGCGCTGTTGAAAGAAGCACTCAGATCAAACAGGCGTTTTAGCAAGGGAGATCCTTTCTTAAGAAATTCAACTCAAAATTTCTTCCTTGTGCCAACTGCATATTGAGAAGAGGCTTTAGGCCTTGCATCAGTACCTAGATTTGTGGAAGGATGTTACTCTGTAGAAGCTTTCTGAAACAGCCTTAGTACAGAGCCTATTGTGTGACCATTGTAGGGTCAGAATGAACATTTCAGTACAGAGAAAAAAATTCAGGTTTCAGAGTTTCTAGCAGAAAACCAACACTCCCCACCCCACCCTCAACCACAGGGCAGATTTCTTCTACTTTAAGGGGGGGAATGCAGAAAATCTCATTTTCATCTATATGATACTGTTATTGATACCGTGATTGCTGTTATTTCCCAGGTTATATTGCATTCTGGAATATATATGGCCGTGGGAACCTTTTTGCTTATTTCTCTAGTGTAAGTGCTGCTCATTTTCTGGAAGAATGTTTTACATGTTGCTAATTTCCATTTGTAAGGCCTCTGTATGTTTTTATTAGTGCTGTGAGATTCCTAACAGTTTGGAAACAAACAAAATAAGAACTAGATCTTTAAATAATTCATAATTGGAAGTGGCACACCTTCATTTAGGCTGCAATCCTAAACACCAGGGCTGGGTAGCTAGTGGTCCTCCAGATGTTGCTAGACCACAAATCCCATCTTTGCAGACCACCATCCATGCTGGAGTCCAGTAACATCTGGAATGTCATAGGTTCCCTTCCCCTGCTAGCTACACTTACTGGGGGAGTAAGCCCCGTTGCATGCTGTAGGATCGACTTCTGAGTAAATATGCATAGGATTGCTCTGTGCATTAGGGCTTTGCCTGTATCCTCTTCTGACTTTTCATATGATGGTAGTCTAAGCATCAAGGTGAACCCAGAGACAGTGCTAGCCCAGGGCATCTTGTGATCAGAGACAAAGGACAAGATGCCACCCTGCTGCTTCCACATACAGAAGCTAGCTAGACTGAGAGCTGACTCTCAGTGGTATCCCTCCCTGAGGGCAACAGGTTACTTTAGGAGATACAGAGTGTGGGGCATGCACAACCCTATCCCCTCCAACAACCCAGTTTGCATAGCACAAAACCATGGGTTGGTATTACATTAGAATCAACCCAATATGTAACATAATGTGCAATCAAAATAAAGAGTAAACAATATCCTATTGATAGTTAGGCTGGATCCATGCATTTCACGTTTGCTTGGCTTAAGAGTCAGGACAGCCTTAAAACGTAGGCGCTTCTTGCCTGTGTGTGCCGAAATTGCACTTAAAATCTCACCACATGCACCAACTGAAATGCAAAACTAATCATTCACCAAAAGTGACACAAGTAACAAAGTGCTCCTTAGAGTGCAAGGAAGCTTCAATCCAACACACCTTTCTAGGCAGGGCTGGGAGTGAGTTCCATTGAACTCGGTTGAATTTATTTCTGAGAACATCATCACAGAATTATGCTGTTAGTCCTCCCTCTTGAGAGTAAAAATAAAATAATGCATTACTTAAAGGACATTTCCGCCACAACTTTAGTACTGAAGCTTCTGCAATCCAGCAGCTTGATGGATGAGTTTGTTACATGATTGTATTTATTTATTTATTTTATTATTATTTATTATTATTTCCTTGCTTGCAGTCAAAAGAGAGATCCACAGTCAGTGACATGGCAGTTGATGACAAGGACTTCCTCTTGTGTGCAGGAGACCAACTGGGCTTTCTCTATATCTGGAACATTGCAGAATATGCTATTAATGGCCCAGAAGCCAAGCCACCAGTTTGTGAGAGAAACATTTTTATTCAAAACCCAAATGTTTCATATTTGCTCCCGAGTGTACAGTATGTCCTTACCTTAGTCTCCTCTCCTTTTTTTCAAATAGTACTTCACAGCTGGAACACTCACAACTGCAGCATAACCAGGTAAGACACGCTGAGGAACACAAGGCCCATGAGGAAAGATTAGGAGCTAGTGAATCCATTGGGGACAAGCTCCCTTTACTTACATCTTAGGCCCCCTTCTCATGGCGCACTGGTGGTGGCAGTGTAGCTCTTTTGCCTGCACTGCCTGCTTGGGTAGGAAAGCACAGACCCTGTAGAAGAGCAGTGGGGAGCTGGATTCAGCCAGTGGATTGGGTGCTTATCTCCCCCTCCCCCATCCCCGTGGGCCAACTTTGAAAGGCACACAACATCACAACGGCATTTGAAAGGCACATGACACCACAATGTCAATAGGTGATCTGTTTTTCCATAGCACCATGCAGGGTGCCTTGCAAGCCACAACAATCAGCACTGTGCTTTGCAAGTCCTGAGCATCAGCCAGTTGTCTGCGCTGGCAAAGTACTGTGTGTGGCATGTATTCCCCTTTTGGCTCAACTGCGTCTTTATTTGTACCACACGTGACATCACATATGATGTCGCATGTTGGGCATGTGGGTATGGTTTGGCATTGAGGAGTTCTACGAGTATTGCTATTCTAGCTGTGGAAAGAACTTGAGAAACAAGATGTTTAAGAGAGTAAGGAAATTCCGCAGCAGTGCCTATTTTCAGAGCAGTTGTCAATATAACAAACTAAACCCATTTTCTTTTTTGGAGTAGCATCTGCCTTATGAATGAGCACCAGCTTCTCCTCACTACTTCTTTAGACTATAATGCAAAGTTGTGGAGCCTAAAAGGGGAATATATAGGTAAGATTTAATCTTAGATAGAAATACATATACATTATTACACACCACTCCAATCTCCCAGCAGTGTGAGATTCCAGGCTCTTACCCAGGGTTCATGTTTCCTTTTGGTAATGGGTACAGTGGAAGCTGTGGTCTCTTTGATATATGGGTTTATTTACACATATATACAACTTAAGCCTACAGTGGAGGGGTTCACAGCATCAACAACCCAAGAGAGTATTGTTTCCTCCATAGCAGCAGCCTTGAATTCAAACAGAAATCAAACATCATGCTCTGCCTTTCTGCTTTTCTTCTCGGTCACAACACAACCAAACTCACCTCTAAACTCTGGCTTTTGGCGTTCTATCTGTGAGTTGAGGGAGGGGCTCTACCTATTTGCTGTATTGCACAGAGCCCCCTTAATCCTATGTTCTCTTAATCTCATCACGAATCTAGCCTGGCTTACATTTTAACACTTGTTGGACCCAGGAATAAGGAGTTGTTGCACCCACAATCTGATAACTATACACACACTGCATGATCTGTCTGCAGCCCACATACCCCTATCCTGTTTTGCCACATCAAACTTTCTCTGATTGCATCTGGAACGGAACCATCACCACTGCATCATCACGGAGCAGAAGTCTTATCAATTGCTACTAACCATGATGGCTACTGCTTGTCCTCCACGGTTGAGGCAGTAATGCTTTTGCACACGTCTCTGGAAAGCATAGGGCTGGAGATTGCTCTTGTGCTCAGGTCCGGCTTGCAGGTCTCCCACAGGCATGCTCATAGGTGTCCACTATGCGAACAGGATGCTGGTCTAGGTGGGCCATTGGCCTGATCCTGCAAGCTCTCGTTATGTTCTTATGTGGTTGTTCATTCCCGAGTACTGTAACAGTGGTTTTGGTTTTTTGAAAGCTTTATTTTGGGTTGTATCCAATCAAGTTATTCAGTTAGCAGGTCTTCCACCTGCACAATGGGACTTCCTCTTCCTTTACTCTCCTGTTGTCCTCCCAAATCTGTCCTGTGGTTTTCTCCAACCCTTTGGAGAAGATTGGTTGGGGGAGGCAGGGAGCAGAAATGTCATTGCGCAGGCAGATGTTTTTATCTAACAGGACAACTTGGTTGGATATAGTCCTCTGTCTACATGCAAGTAAAAATTGAATATATGCATAACAGAGAAGCTTCTGAGGTAGTCAAGTATAACATTTTAAAGTAACTTTACTTTTTTTAATTAAAAAAAGGTACATTTGGTCAAAGAGAACCATGGAACATAAAAGAGAAGTCATCTTGGGGACTATCAGAATCCAACCCGAGTTCAGAAAATAGCTCTGACTCTTTTGGACAGGAATCTACAAGAACCTTTGACACACAGAAGAAATCCAAGATGGATGCTGAGGTAGGAATATTATCATCACTGGGCAGTATTTGAGTTTTATTTAGAGCAGACACATTGAAATTAATGAGCATGACTAAGTTAGATCCATTAATTTCAAAAGGTCCACTATGATTAAAAATTAGCTATCTCCCATTGTCTTTTCTTTACATTAGCATTTGGCTTCATCGCCATCTGGCTCCTGTCCCCAAACCAGGTATATTATATTCCTGATAATTAAGGATAAAATTTCATGTATCTGATGAAGTGGCCTGCAGCCCATGAAATACTCAACAGTATACTCCCCCTCACCAAGCTCAATAGCTCTTGAGATGTGAAACTGCATAGCTTTTTTAATCTGGAGAAATCTGTGATTTTTGCAAGTCTCTGATAAGTATAATGAAAAAGATGAAGAATCAGAAAATGGGATAAAATTTAATGAAGTGTTCATTGAGTACTGTACTGGTCCTCTGCCTTCTTCTCAGCTCTTTTTATGGAAATGAATGCTTTATGCCTGCTTGCCACGTGGAGGGACTGGAAAACAGCATAATATTCAGAATTTTTTTTAAAAAAAACTATTATGTTGGCTTATCCTGGTTTTGCTAAATTTTTTTGCCTGCTCCTCTTAAATTTTAAGAATGAGATGCTAGGTTCCTTATAGTTCAGCAGCTTCTAGCTCTTTGCAACAAAATAAAAATAAAAAGTAAATTTGATTTGAAATTGTCTAAAAAAACCTGTTCTTTTAACATACCAAACATAATTTAATGGCTAAACACATTATACACAATACTTTGTTACTTTTGGAACCAAAAAATAACATTTGATCTGTAATATATGCTTTATAGAAAGTATTTTACTACCTTGCAGCCATTTTACTACCTTTTCTCAGTCCTACTGCTACTATTGCCCTTTGCTTCGAAGCTAAAATTATACCGCACAATTGTGTCACCAACTCACCCCACAAGCCCTTTCTCCCTTCTGGGAAAGCATTGTAATTATAGTTGCTGTTTCACCAAAAACCTTTATTTTCTGTGAAATCATTGCTCCCTGTGTACTTTGAGGGCACTTCTCTACCCAGCCTGAATGACTGGTATGTTATCCCATAGATGATTTGGGACACTTGCACTTCAAAGATGGTAATAGATGATGAACTTGCTGAAGAACTGAAGCAAAGGCAGATAGACAGACTACACAGGTGTGTACAACTTGAATTTAAATCCTCTTTATTTACCGACAACATACTGGCCCATACTAGGTTAGCTTAACAGATATGCAAGTCTTGCACGGCGTAATAGAATGCTGCACTCTATAAAATACACAGGACAACTGAAAATTAAATTGTGTTGACAGATGAGTCCATACTCAAGTGCACAGTCTCTGTGTGCGATACAGTAGCAACATGTATTTCTAAAAGCTGCTTTTTGCATCTACCATTCCCTTTGTGTGCTTTGTTAGATGTTTCCCAGACTCCTAGCTATCCATATAATCTGTTCTCTCCCCATTCCCTCATCCAATTTCCCAAATTTAAGAAGTCTTAATTTTATGTCATTTGGAAAAGTATCCCTCTTACAACTACTAGCCAGAAAGAAAACAGCACACCATTTATCTTTCAGATCAAAGCAGTTCCAGTGGAAACCTATTCAACATGATGCAAACCGAATAAATTCTTATCACTCTCTTCCACTGTGTGAGTTAGCCGACACACAGCTTGCCTTCCACAAACCAAATCTAGCAGCAGAACTTGATGACCCATTTCAGTTGGAAATTTAACAGCTTCTTGGACAGGCTGCAGGGCAGAGGCCGCCTTTAAGCAACCAAGCAACTTTTCTCAAATGTATGATGTGTAAAAAGCAAGCAGAATTTAGAAAGTGTGCTGATGTGTTTTTTTCTGACCAAAGAACTTTGATGGCTGTTAAGAGATCAGTCCTCTTCGTGGACATTAATCCCATTGGTTAGGACGATTATTGTATTACAGTAGCAGATTAAGCTGAAACTAGTGGCAATAAAAAAGTCTCAGGGGAACATCACTTCTGGTTCAAGAAGTAGATTTAAATATTTATTATAAATTTTTACACACAATCTCTGGTAAATTAGTGTTGCCACTTGGAAATCAACTGACATATTCATCCATTTGTGCATGATGTCACTATGAAGGATTCAATCCCTTTACATATAAACACTTTGCATACTTAAACACTGCTATAAGGTTATCCAAGCTGAACACACTCCTGTCCCATGGAGACACATTTACATAAGAAAACACTTGCTAAATATAAAATGTCTGTAGAACCCTGGCCATGGCAGCTGATTGACTTTAGCTTCAGCTTCCGTTATGGTGAACTGATTTCCCCAATTCACACCTTCATTTTTCTGTGTTTTGAGGTACATGCCTGTTATGAGAAAACTAAATGGAGTCATCTTGCAGCTTACAAGAATTGTACCATTTTGCTATTCACAAATTTATCCTAACAAAATAGCAAATGGTGTGTTTTTTAATTGGGCAATGCAATTTAGCAAGCCTCTGTCCTCCTCATACATACTAATTTAATATATTCACAGGAACCCATTCCAAATTCCAAACTGTGGAAATGAATTTGGAATTGCAAAGATCATTCTTCATAATATGATTTTACACTTCTGACTTGAACTTGCTAGCTGGCAGCCTTGGGTATTCTAACTGCTGTTTAAAGTAGCTCTTCTGAAGCAAGGCTGGAAATAAAACAGTCTTGTTTTGGAACCTTAGGTATCTCTCTGTGTGTATTGTGCCTGTGTGCAAGAAAGGAAGATAGCAGGAAAGTTTCCACTTATACAGAAAGGTAACTCAAAAACGACAACATTGGTCTGTAGGATAACAGCTCTGTAGAGAAGCTTGTACTGTGAATTATGGCCTATTAATCTGTTGATTTTTGTAAGATACCTACTTAATTTAAGTAGCAATTAGGAATTAAAATGGAGAAAAAATTGTGGGAAATTGCAGTCAAACATAATATGCATGATTGCTAGTCACTGCATGAATGGGTTAAGAAAATAGACCTGTATTCCCAGACTTGGCTATGTCACACACCCTCTTCTCTGATGTGCTAGGAAGCGAAGCCTTCTCTTCCTGTTCTCTCTCTGATCAAGGAGCAAGCTTAGGGCATGCGTTTGAAGTTTTCATTCTGTATATTCTGTCTTCTCCTTGCTGCTGCTTGGATAAATGCATGAATCTGACTTTTGGAACATTTTGTAAGTAAAGCTTTTTAAGCTAACAGTGTGTGGTTTGTTCATTGCCAGAGGGGTAAAAAGAGAGGAGTGATGTGTGCAACTAAATGGGTTATGAAAAGGGTTTAATAGCCTATATTCCCATGCTATAGTGCTGCTTGACTTTTGTGAGTTTAAACTCTGATACTGGGGGCTCTCTCCTGCTGGAGAGTTCATTCAGCCCTGCATTTTGAATCCAGGCACCCAGCCGATTCTTTCATTCATATCCCCCCAAGGATTCATACCCCTCCCCCAAATTAGTACCAAGGCCTGCATTCCGACTCAGTTAAATAAATACCTATAATTAAATTGTAGCCAATTTAAATTTACACCAAATTTAAGTGAGAAACTAGCCGCTTAAATCAGGCATAGGCAAACTCCGGCCCTCCAGATGTTTGGGACAACAATTGCCATCATCCCTAGCTAACAGGAACATGGGTTATGGATGATGGGAATTGTAGTCCCAAACATCTGGAGGGCCAGAGTTTGCCTATGCCTGGCTTAAATCATGGCTGGGTAATCCATGGCCCTTCAGATCTTGTTGGACTACAACTCCCATCATCCCTGATTTAAATGGTGGGTTCCATTTTTTTTAGGTAAGGGCCTTGGAAGATGAAGGAATAACCAGTTAACGTGAGCAGGCATCAATGCAGAAGGACATGACGTGTGGAGTGAAATTATAATTCCTGGTGGCATGACTATGAATAATGAATCTATAAAACTATAATTACTGGTGTTAGGTGGAGATATATTTCCAAAAGGATTCAAGTAGTGCCCACTCTTGAAAATAGGAGCTGAACAAAAGCAGGCAGTACCACTAATTTGCTGTTGTGAGATAAGAGATAACTCATGCATATAAGCAACTGGGGGAGTAAAACAAAGTTGCTAATTAATTTTTCCCCATCACTCATGTTCAACATCATCCTCAACCAGAAGTGGGCAGAAAGTAGACAGGAGGGAAAAAAGCAGACTATGCAAAACTGCTCAGTCTGCCTTCCTGATATTCACTAAGCACTTTGCTCATGTGTTTTTCATTCTCAGTAGCATGCAAATACCCCATCCCAGACACATTTAACTACACTAACTAACTACTGAAGTCACAATGAACCACAGGGACATGATGGAGAAGAAATTTAATTTATCTCAGATACAAGGCACTATCCTCTATTAAGCCTAAACTGGAGAGGCCAAATCCATTCTTATTGTTTTAAGAAGATACTTAGCTCCACAGGTCATGTGATACTGTGCCTCATGAGTTCTAGCACCTGTTGACATACCATTGTGACTTAGGGTACATACTGTATCATTCAGTCCATGGTCTAGTATATTAACTCTTAAAACGTACTTTAAAATTACTCAAAATGCTAAACATAAGCCAAAAGTATGAACAGTGCTTTCGTTACATATAGTCTGCAACTTAGAAATAATGTTCACTCAGAAACAGAAAGGTGTATAAAGCTAAACCCATGCCGTAAAATGTAAAGAGATGCATTGAAAAATCTAGCATTTCTATCCCAAAAAGAAAGAGTCCACGTTCACCAAGAAGCTTTACATATATGTCACACTTTAATAGGTTGGTTTTGATTTAACAGCTTCCCCTGCAAAGCACTCAAGCTACTTTGAAGAAAAAGTATGGAAAAGTGAAGAAAACCCCTGGAAGGCCAGCTTAGAAACTTTTTGAATGAATTCTGGGCAAACTCCATATGCCTACGCTGCTGGATTACTATTAATACAAACAAGGTTCCATCTTTGTACCATTTCATTAAAGGAATATTTTTCTGCAACAAATCATGGGATAAAGAACAATTGCAAAAGTGTACAACCTCCTTTCTCATCTGAGCAACATTTCCTTAAATAATTTGGTGGGAACCATGCTTCATCCCTGAAGATATGCGCAGGGGGTTTCTAACGCTGTAACAGACCTTTCTTTTCTGCCATACTTTTCCACATCAATATTCTAGCTTGGACATTTTATACACAGCTCTCTGTAACCAATAATCACTTTAGTATCCAGAATTCATTTGTTTAGAGTAAGTCATTACGAAGTCAGCGTGACGTACCAGAAACTGAATTCAGAATATGCTTGAATATGCACATGAAGAGTTTACCTCACACTGAAGCTGCTGGAAGTCTGGAAGGAATGGTCTCATCCCATGAATGCCTGTGCTAAATTGACTGCAAGGACATCACTAGTTCCACATATAAGAGAAAAATACAGGTCAAAAGAATGTAGCAAAATTGCATAATCCATTATCCTAGGTATTGGTCATAAAAACAGTAATCGGCTGCTTATCTGTGATTTGACTTCCTTTGGGTTATCTATCAAACACTGTAAAATTGGGTTATGCTCCACTGGTATCATAAGACAGACTTATGGCAGGGGCAAATAGGAGAAAGTGACTCCTAATCCCTCCCAATAAAGCAGGCTTCCAAGTATTCACCAGTGTACAAAGCCTAACACTAGATAAAAAACAAGCATTTTATCTAGCTGGCAGATTGGCATAAAATGGGGTAAGCACTAAGTTTTCTGCAAGCATCTCTTGGCAAGGAGCTAGGAAATCCACTAAAGACCCAAGCTCAAGAAAGGATCCTGATCCATGGAAGACTGAATACTGAATTACACGTCTTCTTCTCCCACCCAATCCCGTATATTATTCAGTAACAATGTCTTGAAAGATAGAATCCACAATTGCCCCTAAATGTTGAGTAATTTCAACTGGCTTCTTCCAGTTGACAAGGAATTCCACTTGCATGAGCTCTTGTTATGGGGGACAAAGAGAAAACATCTGCACCACTCATTATTAAGATGGCAGTAGGTGGATTAGTTTGCTGAGGCATCTGAAAGGGGTGTGGTACACTTGGGTGCTAAGCCTCCTCACTGTACTCAGTAAATCTTGTGTTTAAAACAAGCAAACAAAACCCCCTTTTCTTGCATTGTTCTGGTACTTCTAAACAGACCAGATGAAGATCTCTGTTATTCAGCGTCCTGTTTCACAGCCATCCCAAAATCAACCTATTGGTGTGAAAGTTGCAGAAAGGAGTGTACAAGAAAGCTAGGATTCCACACGTCCAACCTCATAGTCCCAAGGGAAGATCAGAAAATGGCTTAAGCAGCAACATATCCTTCTTTCTGCCCTGAAGAAAGCTAGTTAAAAGCCTGAGAAATGAAGTCCAGTACAGGAATGTCTGGTAAAGTCAACCGAAGTCAAAGCCTCAGAAAAAACCTGTCAAATCCTGGACAGAGAACTTTGATAGCATTCCAAAAGGGCCTCTTTTTTGTGAAGTCTGCCTATCACCCTGCAATCACTTTGGATTAGTACCACAGAAACCCTAGAGAATGGTAAAACATTTAGTAACATTATGGAGATATTGTACATTGCACAACTAAAAGAAATTCTGCCTACAATACTCACTAATCTGTTAAAATCTGAGATTTGGGGAAAAATACAAAACAGAGTGGAGAACCTTTCTGCATGGAACCTGGTGCACAAAAAACTGTAAGAAATGACTGAGTAACTTGAAACAAACTGTAATAGAACTTGCATAGTAGTTGTGGAAAGAGAAGCAAAACTCTGCTAATGTAACAAAGGCAACATTTAAGCCAAAAACTGGGTTACTCATGAAGGATGTCTGTTCATTATGAGTTCTTTTGACCCCAATTTGCTCATATTTCAAGGTAGTTGATTTATTATCTCCTTTGATTAATTTTTAGGCTTAAAACTGTAACAGTAGAATCAAGTTAAAAGCAATGCAAATTTGGAACATTGGTTGCATGAATGTATCTTTGAGCTGAGTTTTTTATGGATGCCAAAGGATGCTTGGGACCATTGCTGACAGATTTTGTGACTTTTGTTGTGTTCCTTTTCTAAACACAGAAACAAAAATAGAAGATAATTTGGCCAAGAGAAATGGTAGAAGTATTTCAGTAAGGAACACTGACAGAGATCAATTACCAGTTAATGTGTGTGTATTTTCCACTTTTAATTCTGAGGAGGACATATTTAAAGAACATGCATAGGCAGCATTCAAAATTAAGCTAAATTAGCAAGTCTGGAGGTAATTAAGAGAAATGAAAACATGAGTGAGTCCCCAGTTATGGCCTTCAAACTTTCACTAACGTTTCATACTATTACAACTTTAAACAGTGTCCTCAGCATCAACACAGAATATGATATATAGGACTGTGTGTACACGGAGACCATGAGCTTTATTTTGAGTCATGTTGCTAAGGCTTATGACAAAGAATGCTGCTGGTATGAGCTCCTTTCAAGCCTTGGATGTTTTGTCTACAAGGTTCTTACAGTTTTCATGGTACATCAACAAGATTAACTAATTTGCCAGCTAACCTCTATTTTAATATTTAAATTAGAACAGTACAACAACTAGAAAAAGGTCAGTGCTTCAAGTGGCAATATTTAAGCCACATCAAATCCAATATCTTCCAAAATAAAGATGCAGAGATCTAGACTTCAGCATCAGTAGTGCAATACAGTGGCCTTTCCTGAATAAAGGAGCAGAGGCTTACCCACAATAAAAGCTTTAAATAAGGTAGATTGTTGTCATTTATATAGCAATTCTGCCTATTTGATATAAAATATATCGGGAAAGCTTAAACTGACTTTTACAATCTACATTCAACTAACGCTCCACATAAGCGGTATCATGGAATGAACAATGGGAATGCACTCAAATAGAAAAACACTTTCAAACCTACTGCAAAGAACAAAGGACAGAAAGTTGACTAACTGAACATCTGTAGTGTGAATCAGACATAAAAGAAAGATGGACCCTCTGATTACTTGCACTGCTTTTAATGGACTGAAAGAAATGCAAAACTTAGTCCACATCCATTTCTTCAGATGATTTAGGCTGCTGGCAACTGTCCTCTGATTTTGTGTCAGCACCACTCTGTCCATTCATTGGTCCATTGTGTTCACTAGATTTTGACTGATCTTCAGACAGTGGCTCTGCCTTGGGCTTAGGCTTGTAAATAATAGGGTTACATAAACTGTCCAGTTCCTGTTATTAAAATGAAGAGGGGGAAAATATGGTAAGTTGGCAAAAAATACGAATGTAATGGATTATGATGTGGTATTTGGGAGGTATACCTGGGGGTAATTATTTCACTAAAGATCTGCCCATGACTGAAAGATTCTGGTATTAAGCAACTGTTTACAAATCAGCTTGAAGAGCCTTCAAATAATGGAAACTGCTACAAATCTTGTTAGCTACATTATTATCTGCTCCAATTGTTGAATCATCAAGCTTTCTGCAAAGTATGCTAAATGGCACACATAGGAAATTGCTTCTTGCTTATCCAGAGACAGAAATTATCCATTGCTAGTCAAAATCTGTTTACTGCTTTGCACATTTTCAATCAATCTAAATTGTTGCCAAATATCAGAACACAGGGTTTTCAAAACAGATATATGGTTTTACCTGCAATATATGCAGGCATGCGCACAGACATACACAAAAACACCTATATACCCTTTATGCACATTTAGTGTAAGAAAAACAACAGATGCTCCTGCCATTGATGGAGTGAAACTTTAAGATCCAGGCCAAATTCTTCTGCATCAATCAGAGCTTTAGCTGATTTTTGGTGTCACCATACTGAGACACTGTGATTCAAAGCCCTGTGTCTACAGATGGGTCACCTTAACAGTTATGGTAGATGGAGCTCACTGTGTATAGATGCTAAAGAGTAACTGTCCTACTGATATCCTTTTTATTAACTTTAATAGAAATGTTTGTTATCCCCTTCTATTACCATACTTGGAATATTCATTTATTTCTTGGTCTATCCATATTTATATTAATCCCATTTCATTCACAGAAATTTCACATTTACCTTAGATTTTGCTGTTATTTCTGCCACTTTCACAACAGGATCCTGGGTGAGACTCAGCCTGTTCTGTGCATTCATTTTTGAGTTCAACCAATTCATTGCTTCACTGGTATACTTTTCAACTTTTTCCATATCAACAGGATCAATGTGATCGTATTTTTCATCCTAGAGGAGAAAAAAAATATTGTAATTATTAATAAGTTATTTAAATTCAGAATTCAGAAAGGTAATGAATACATATGCTCATTTCTGAAGTCATTCCAGACTATTATTAAGGAAGCATGACTATGGTTAAGTATGATGTGTCAACTGATAAATCATGATTTGCTATCAGCAAGCAAATCAGAAAAAATCAGAATACCATATTCATGGGCCACATCCAATCTATGAGCCCGGAGTTCTGCAGCTCGGGACTTCCGGGTTGGCGCGATCGGGAAATGGCGGATTCCCTCCGAGCTGCGGAGGGAATCGGCTCCACTGAGGACGGGTCTTGCCGCGCCGGCGACGCGGGGACCCTTAGAAACCGCAGGCGCTGAAGCCTGCGGACGGGAAGACTCGGTGGGCGCCTTAAGCGCCCCCGACCCACGAAGAGCCTTTTTAAAGGCTGCGGAGAGGGTACGGAGGGTGGCGTGGCGCTGAGAGTCGATCGCTACCTCGGTGGAGTGAAGCCGCGAGCCATAACTGGAGAGCGCTGACTTCCTTCCTTGAAATTTGGACTGAAAAAAACAACCCCGTGAGTAGAATGGAATTTGGTTTTAAAAATTTTCTCCTTTGAATTCGAGACGACCGGGGGATGTGCTAAAAGGAAGTCCGCACCCCCCTTACTTACAGACAATTCTAAGCAAGGAACGGAGAACTAAGGTGGAGAGGTTATTTTATCTACTACAAAAGAAACTAACTTCCACGATTTGACAAAAGAAGTGTTGTACTGGAGACTGAGAGCGGAATTTTGGAAATTTTTTATGAAAGCCCCCCCCGGACCAGGGGGAGTCCCGCGTTTGAGCCTGTTGAAGAGGAATAAGGAGTTTGACAGCTGTCAAAAGAGCTGTCAAAGGGACAGTTTAAGTTAAAAGTTTGCTAACTAATATCTCTCTGGACTAAAAGTGCTATAAATTGAAACAAAGTTGTTGGAAATTTGAAAGAAAGAAACAAAAAAAGATTTGGACTGTTGGAAAAAGTCTACAAAATAACCAGAATCCCTCTAGGGGGATTCTTAAGGCATTACAATGGCGGCAGATGGAAAATTACAGGCAGAGATAGACAGGATGTTTTTTCTCGTGGGAATTTTGCAAGAGCAGAGTTTGTCTATGAATAAACAACTCATGACCTTGACCTCTGGAATAAGCAACTCTGCTGAATGCATAAAGGACTTGGCAGGAAAGGAATCTGCAGCTGAAACAGAAGTGATATCTCAAGAATTGGAGGAGAAAGTACAGATGGGAAATACCAACAAAAAGCCTACAATGGTGGAGTGCAAGGAAAAAGACTCTTGGAGCACATGGATTACAAATCTGCAAAAGATGTTAAAGATGAAGGAGGGGGCCCCTGAAGTATCTGGAATACAGGAACTTAAAGGAAATAAGAAATATGACTGGGGCTCCCCTTTTGAATATGAAAGGCTGGTTGATTCTTGGCAGCAGTTGTTATCAAGTATCCAGGTGGGAAGAAAAACTGGAGTGATGGAGATTGAACTGCTCCGAGACCTGACGACCAATACAAAGGATTTCCAACAAAACCGGCGAAGAGGAACTGAAAGAGATCGGAAAGCCTCGGGCGTGAGGAATCCAGGCTAAAAACTATTGCTGACTTTTATTTGAGAAGGTACTAGAACCGGGGAAGGGGGGGAGGGGAAAGCAGAATTGTAAGCATGTTTATGAATTTTGGGTTGGGTGAATAGGGCCTATATCTAATATAAAAATGAAATCTGTGGAAGGGAACTTGGGTCGACCTTAGGAAAGAATCTAAATGTTTATAAGAGATGGGGATAAGAGAAATGTGGCTAATTAGGAAGAGTTATATCAAAAATATTAATCCATAGGTTAAGGAGGAGAAATTAGAACTTGCTGAACTAATTATGGGAATAGGGATGTATGAAGGGGGGTGGGGGGGGGAGTCCAGGGAATAAGGTTAAGAAAGCAAGGTTCTCAGAATATGCTTGTTTTGTTTTTGTTGTATTTTTGTGTGTTTGTCTTTAAAAATTGTGAAAACCCAATAAAAATTTTAATAAAAAAAAAAGGAGTTCTGCATCTCTTCTCTATGCTACGGTCTTTTCCAAACAGCACAATTTTGCAAACTTGAATAATTATATATTAAAAGGAACACTAGGTTTGGAAATACAATTTGTGAAAAGTCACTCCATCTGATTTACTGATGGATAAACAAAGCTTAGACATAAAATATATTATCAATTGTTACATACCACAGAAGAAATGTTTAATTGTGAATATAGTATGTTAAGGATATGAAAGAAAAAAAATCAAGACACTACAATATGAAAAAGAAGACATATTTGTTTCTGTTTAAAGGAGACACATTTTACCCTCTTTCAAAAGATTTTGTTGACAAATAATTTGTAGAATAGGTAAATTATACAGGAGTTCAATACAGTACTATTAAAACTATCCTGTAAATCTTATGGACCTACCTTATTTTTGTATCCTTCTACAGCTTTCATAAGCAGCTGGAGTTTCTTTCCCAAATCATTTAATGCTTTAGGCCTCTCTTCATGTTCCATGTATCTATCATGAATAGGACCGCCAAATTTCTACAACAGAGGAAGCAGAAGTTGAGATATTTTAAAATTATTCCCTAAAAACTGGAGAAAGCATGAATAAAGGTTTATTTTTTGAACTATTAAGCAGAATTCCTTGTAAACCTACAAGAAAAAAGAATGGCAATCTGGGGAAGCAAATGAACTAGTTACGTTGCTGAGGAAACAGAAAAGTGGCTCACATATTAGCAAGCCTCTCTTCTCTACTGTATTTAGAATCAAAGGGTTGAATCCAGAGTTGCAGAGCCAAGCTCTACAACCTGACTGCTCTTGTGGGTGGAAGGGGATATGCTATTTCCCTCCACAATCTGCTCCAGAGTTCAAGGCCCTCTCAAACAGCACAGGAGGTGCAAACCCCTCCCTACTGCTTGCAGGAGTGCCTAGTAGAGTGGGAGCCTCTGCTGCACCAGGCTCACTTCTGTGAACAGGAGGCGGCTTTCTGTTCCTAGAACAGCAGGTCTGGAACCAATTCATGAAGTTGGAGACCATCAAATTCCAACTAACGCTTGATACAAGAAATCCAGAGCTAGTACATCCCCAACTATAATTTCCTCTTACCAACCTTGGTTTGGAAGTGTAGGAGACAAATGCCAGGAAAATGAAATTAATCCTCAACAAGTAGCTGTGACACACATTATCAGCACCACAGATGAGAAAGTCTTGCTCAGTGAGGGAGTAATACAAGACCTGCCTAGGTGAAGGCATAGCTGGACAGAACTTGAAAGAGGGCATTTTCTCTTGCTGCACTGAGATTATGGAACATCTTGCATTGTAAAGTGCAGCTGGTCCCCTCTCTCAATGTTTTTCACTGGTCCTTGAAGATAATTTTATTTTGGAAGGCTATTGTTTTAGGAAGCAAATGAAAACTCAGTTTCAATGTCATGGTAAACCATAACCCACCTTATCAGAGCCACTCTGCTCCTTTCCTGGTGCAGGAGAAACAACCACTGGCTTAGCATTATGTCCACACTGGGAATCAAGGCTTGTTTCAATCCAAGCAAATCATGATCTCTAGCCAAGGTTTTTTGGGGGCTGGTAGGGAGACTTGCAAATAACTTTGTGCCTCTGGTCCCCTGGTTCTTCTTGCATCTTCTACCAGGAGTCACAACAAACAACAGGCTGGGTGTAAGCCTCAACCCATGAAGGACTAACTACCTGTTTTTTTTATTAATTTTAATTTTATAGTCAGTCACCATAAGGTACTTGGGTTGGCAGGAAGGTATAATATATTTTTCTACAAGTGTACAGGCTGAAGGCTTAGTTCTTTTACTGGGAGGTATACTGAAGAAAATGCTGATATCAGTACTCAAAGTCAGTCTGAAGCTATAGTACTTGCAACTACTCCATTTAATCCACTTTAATTAATGCTCTTGTGACATCTTGAATCCCTTGCTCTCTCTGGTCAAATTTCAGCGGCTTTAAGACAGCAAAGCTACTAGTCCACATATCTACGACATTCAATTATTACACTTCTTAAAATACAGGTCTTACTTTCATTTCCTGAAGTTTTTCCACATATACATGTTTTGGTTGGTCTTCTCCATCTTCATAAAGCCAGTTTTCTGTGTCCTCCAACATTAAAGTTATCTTTCTTGAATCCTAGAAAAAGCAGTACAAAAAGCCTTGCCATTTTGAATGAAAACAGAAGCTGTCTGTGTAAGAATGCATTCTGCTATAAACACTGATATCCAATACTGACACTGTAACAATAATGTGTTATAGGAAATTGAGTTTTACAGAATTTTACAGAAAAGGGGGAAATAGTTTCAGCGCTTCAGCTATAATGGTATTAAAAACTAAACTGGAATGTTAACTGGGTCCCATGCATTATGCTAAGGTATAGAAACAGCTAACAGAAATTGAGTTTTGTTACAATTATTCCAAGGGTATCGTGTCCTTGCTTTACCCCTCATAATTTCTGCATAAACATTAACAATCTGTGTGACTCAGCCACAGCCTGAATGACAGGACAAGGTAAAGCTAAGTAAATTAAGTCTAATGGTTAATTAGTCAAGCAATGCATGAAGGCTATAATTCCATTTAAGCTTCTCTCTGAAATATCCTGTTAATTTATTTTAGTGTTGCTGTAGTTAAAATGTAGTACACTTAAATCTATAGTCATGCAGAAAGCCACACTAATTTATTTTCCCCCATTCCAATATATATTCATCAAGTTATTTGTGACAAATGTAGCAATAGGAAATGCAGGAAAGTCAACAAAAGGGGGGAGAATGAAATTCTGAAGCTGTAGCTGAAATGCATATAGGTCAGAAACAATTAAAAATTGATAGGATTGAAAGTTAAAAGCACATCCATATATTTTGAGCTTGTTTTGGCTTCAGTATGTTATTATAAAAGAACTGGAAGCGAAAATGACATGTAGCTTTTCTCTAAAAATGAAAAATATGTTTATTGATTCTTTATTACCTCACCCTTCCCTCATATTTCAAAAAGGAACATTTATGTTTTAGGTAATATGAAATGTATTTACACTGAATCAATACATCAAATTATCTTTCTTTTAACTAATTACTGTGGTCAACTAAAAAATCAGTTTCTGCTACCCTAAAGTATGCCATGTTAACTTTAGAATATGCTGTACAAATATTGAAAGTTTTTCTCCAATAGTCCACAAAGTACTTGATGTGAAATATTTGATTGACTTTTCTTCCTAAAGCATACTTCGTATGACTTAAATGTTATATTCAAATTCAATGTTTTACCTGGAAATGATTATTAGAATATTTGTATATATTAATATTTGTATATATTTTATGACATGATGTGATAATAGGAACTTCCCTTACATTACTTAAAATATAAGAAAAAACTGAAAGCAGTGAAAACAATAAACATACATGCTTCAGCATGCATAGGAATCTGGGTACGGTTCCTGTTAAAATTACAAATTTCATTTGCCTGCTATTTTATTCATTCAAGTTGCCCTGTTTGTTTAGCATTGTGTATATTCATTATGTTACTACTTTTATGCAAAATGGATTTCTCAAAACATAAAGTCTTGTAACAGTGGGAATTTTTAATATTCTAATATAATATAACTCCAAAATCAATTCTAAGAATTAACTTATGGGACAAGTTTAAACATTACAATCCTGTATTAGAACTTCAAAAATGCAAGTAAAATGCTGATTTAAAGAGGTGAAGGCAAAGAGCTTCAAGAGCTCTGCAAGACCTATGCCAGACTAGTCGCCAGAACTCTCCAATGTGACAAAGACTTATGCCTTCAAAAACTTTTCACTTTGTTATCTGTGCTATTTAATGAAAATACAGCGGTACCTTGGGTTACATATGCTTCAGGTTACAGACTCCAGTAACCCAGAAATAGTACCTCGGGTTAAGAACTTTGGTTCAGGATGATAACAGAAATCGCGCAGCAGCGGTGTGGTGGCAGCAGGAGGCCCCATTAGCCGAAGTGGTGCTTCAGGTTAAGAACGGACCTCTAGAACGAATTAAGTTCTTAACCCGAGGTACCACTGTAGGGCGAATTCAATGCTACAGTGCAGCTGCGATTTAAGGCACACTGCACTTTTCCGACACCAGCCATCCTCCTTTTCTTTCAATATGATATGCCAATTAAACAGATTCCTCATGTTATAAATACACAATGATTCTTACATCTTCAGTGATGAATTTTTCATAGACACCACAGAGCTTGTCTCTTAGATCATACACATACTCTTCAACAGCATTTTTGGCATCATTTTTCTCCTTTTCCAGCTTGTCTTGCATTACCATCTTCCCCTGTAAGAAAATTTTAAGTCATTTTAAATCTTGCCAAGTACAGAGATGTTATTTTTTTCAAATATGATTTTGGGAATCTTCCACAACAAATCTCTTCAGACTCTGGAATCTGTTGAACTGAACCAACCACACTGTCATGTACTCTAAACTTGGTAAACTTATGAATAAAAAAATACAATATTCCATCACTTAACTGTAATAGATTTACTATTATATCTCAGTTTCTTCTAATTCTTTTATTTAATCTAGAATTGAGACATCTGCTTTACAGACATGAAATAACTCTATAACCTTACCTCATTTTCAATGTAACAGTTAATAACGTCCTGTCCCACCTGTCTGTATAGGTTAACCTGGATAGGTAGATCAATACTCTTGATCTTTGCTTTAGTTTTGCCAGACTGAGCTGTGTCAATCTTGTCTCCTGAAGCAGTCTGCAGAATTACACATTGAAATATATGTCAACATTCAGAATATTTGAACCCAGTGTACAAAAACGTGTCATATAAAGATTTGACGCAATACAATTTTAAGATGAAAGATCCACAGAAGGATAATATTAGTGTTTAGCATCTGCAGATGCTGCAGGATTTTTTGGATGACACTTAAGTCAAGCAAGGAAGCTAGTTCAAGCAATGCTTAAATAGAAAATCCTCTTAGAAGCGCTTTAGATTAACAACCAAAGAAGAGCTAGTGCATCAGTTTCTATTGAGGGTGTGTAAGGCTATCTTAATTCTCTGTGTCGCAGGATGCACTTGAAGCCCATTAGCACTTGAATGAGTGTTTAATGCCTAGATAGCAAAACTCATGGCTATATTTAAGTAGGTTATTGGAGACTGATCACACAATAGTACAAGGGTATTTCCCCATCAACTTCTTAGCAGTTTCGGACAAGAGCCATTCCTATTCTAAGATTTGAGGTCCTCAAACTTATCTTTGCTATTTCATACTGACCTTTCCTTCACAGCTTATATGATCAACTTCCTCGTCGCCTTGATTATGCTGCTCATGTTGGTTCTTGTGATTGCCATCATCTTGATCAACCTGCATTTTAGCCTATAAAAAAAGAAAAGTTTTACCTCCACACTAAACTTTACAGGAAGGTGTACTCTAGTCATCTACATAGCAGCTTTGTGCAATCGGACAAGATGTATCAGTAAAAAAAGCACTTTACTTAACTAGTGCTTGTTTACTTGAAGTACGTAACTATTACTCTTAGCATAATGTTTAAGGCTTCTCAAGCCTTGTTTGCTTCAACATGATAAAGGCAAGGAAAACATATTCTAGATCATGAAATTCTAAATGGTGGCAATTAGATTACTCCCACAATACTGGAAAACAAATGAAAGAAGACAAGAGGATGGAGTTGATTAACCCCAAATGAAGACAAAACTTTTCAGAACCATGGGTCCTGAATCCTTCCATATTCTATTAGATTTTGCTCGCTGCTCAGTGGGGTTTAACATACCAACTAGAAGGGCCACCACTGCATCCACATTGCTGGGTATGACAGAAGAAGGGGACAGGTGGATCTCTGTATAAATCTTGAGATGATGAGGCAATCTGGTCTGAATTGAGCCTGATGCAGCCACATGACAGGAGTGGAACCAGCCTGGAAACCAATGAATCCCAGGCCAACTCAGTCCCCTCCCATTTCAGGGCTTTCTGCTGGTTTCTGCCTGGCCATTTGGCACCTTCACCCAATCCAACCTCTTTCTCCTCTCCAACGCCAGTGTAAAGGTTTAAACTGCTCTGCCAAATGCCTATCTTATAAATACAACATTAGTGACAGTAATCTGATTTTTTTGACATACACTGTCACAATATATCAAAGCCCAAAAATATAATATAGGAAAAAACAGCATTGCAACTGGGGACTTCCTCTAGCTTACAAAAATAAAAAGATGAGTAGAAAAATGGGAAGATTTAAACTCAGCTATAGCGGTAAGCAGGAGTACAGCAAGAAACAGATGGTGGAAAGAACCTACGGTATAGGCCCCAAACCTAGCAAACTAATACAACAAGGAGTCACAGAGGGATACAGAAGCATAAGAACTCAGGGATAGCAGAGCATTCATCCTGTATATGAGATTTCAGTAAATAAGAAATTTAGACAAGTATTTTTATACAGTTTACTAGTTTTGAGTGTCTACACTGGCATCAATAGCATGCTTCATTTAATAATTAGTTTTCAAGCAGTTAACCAACCACTAGATGAGAAGTAATTTTTGCTAAAGACATTGAATTATCTTATAGAATATTAAGATGTAAATATCACAATATTAAAACCAAGACTGGTAGTATTTTAATTCCGAAATGCATAGCTATTGCCAAGTACTTAAGAACTTCCTTTTCTGAAAAGATTTCTTTCATTTATGTCCCACTTTTCTCAGAAAAGGAACAAACTGAGGGAAAAATATCTTTGCTATCTTAAAGCAAACTGAATGCTACATATATAAACAAACCTCATCCTCAGAGTCAAGGAAGTCATCCTCAATTATGAAAGCTAATTGCTGATATGCATCATAGTAGAAACAGAAGATAATTAGTTGGTACACCACAGAAAACAGGACTTAGACATTAAAAATGGCTACTTTTTATTGAGAAAAGCATTTTTCTACTTAGTATTCAGGACATTTTAAATTTTAAAAACCAGGTTTAGCAGATATTCAGGTTACTTGTATGCCTCAAAGACAGACAAACACAAGCATCAACTGCTCACCTTCAGTAATAATTTGTTTTAGGAAAATGTTTATAAACTTCCAGAATAAGGGGATACTTAAGCAAGTAGATTTTTCAGTAGATCATTAAAAAATAAAGTTTTAGTAAAAATTATGTTCTACTTGTAGTTGTGAGAGGATTTCATAGTTTAACATACCAGCTCCTCTTTGCTTGGATTCTTGCAAGGCAATTCTGTGTCCATAGCAATATCGCTTGGATCACCTTCTGCATGTTGCTTCTCTATCACAGATGCATTAGCCACACTGAAGATTCCATGGACATTAACTCGAACTTTCACTTTCACTTTTGAATTGTCACCATCATGTTGGGGTCCAACGTTCTGAATAACAAAATGACCTGAACAATACAAAGCAGACATTGGACATTGGCTTGTAGACTTGGTTTTTTTGTGCTAAGCCCAAATTCATTTAGTTACCTCATGATTACTTACATTTATTTACACATTTTTAAAAAGTAAATGTTAGCAACTCCTAGATTACAACTTATTCATAAAGATGTTTTATGAAGGCTGCCTCTGATCAGAGGCACCTATATTGCTTCTGTCCCCAACAAGGACAAGATAAACTTTTGAAACAAATCTACAGCTGAAAAGATGGCACAGTAGACAGAGTGGACTCACCAGCAATGTGCATTGTAATGTGATGTACGCTATTTAACATTTCAATATTCTACAATCTCGAACCAGAAGATCTATTTTGCCAGTGCTCACTATCTAATTAAATTACTGTGGGATTATAAACACACCGAGTGACATCTGACTCAAGCTAGAGGACTTTTGCTCTTGAAATGGGTTCTGGCTCTGTATGTATTGGTTCTGTTTCTGCACAGATCAACATTTGGAAACTTCCTGAGCTATGCAGAGGCCTGTCCTAGCCTTCAGGGCACATGCACAGAGCTGCATAAGTCCCTGCCTTCCTGGTAAGCTCCTAAGATCTCAAATGTTGATCTGCCTAGGCATACAAAAAGACCACAAAGTACTGTCTGTTACTGTGCCCTGAGACAGATGAGTCAGTCATCACATACTCCTGACAGGAACTGACCTTCTAAACTTATGCAACTACATTGTAGAAAAGAAAAGCTTTAATTTAAAATAATATCAAGGTACCACTATGATTGTTTAATCTAAAAGCAATGAACCCATGTAGGTAAGAAAAGCTGTTTCAGCTCCCAATTGTAGCTTTATCCCAGATGGAATACCCAATGGTTGCTAGGAAAACAGAAATACAGCAAGGAAGATATACCAGAGAAGCAGAACACCTACAGATACAGGGAGAAGTCAAAATGGCCCAGAAGCAAATTAGAACCTCTACCAGCAAAATTACGAGAAAGGAGGGAAACAGCTGTCTGGCATGATGGCCGTAAGGATGTGCCACTCCACTGCCTTACACAGCCAAGCCAGAACATATTAATACTGAATGGAAGCAGTCAATGGAGGCCAAACTGTACTTTAAGTGGCTTCTGCCTTGCAAATGACAGTGTTGTGCCTCTACTTTGACAACTACTAAAAAAAGGTAAAGGACCCCTGACAGTTAAGTCCAGTCGCAGACGACTCTGGGGTTGCGGTGCTCATCTCGCTTTACAGGCCGAAAGAGCCGGCGTTTTCCGCAGACAGTTTTTCCGGGTCATGTGGCCAGCATGACTAAGCTGCTTTTGGTGCAATGGAACACCAAAACCAGAGCAGTGCATGGAAACGCCGTTTACCTTCCCACCAGAGTGGTACCTATTTATCTACTTGCACTTTTTGGTGTGCTTTCGAACTGCTAGGTTGGCAGGAGCTGGGACCGAGCAATGGGAGCTTCTGACTGACAAGCCCAAGAGGCTCAGTGGTTTAGACCACAGCGCCACCCGCGTCCCTTTTAACAACTACTATATTCATGTTATTTCCCTCTGCCCACTGTAAACTTGCAGCTATCATTCCTCAGCTAAGTATTGCTAGAATTTTGCAGTACAGGTTGTTTAAATTATCTGTTGAAACACTACTGAGCTTGGAATCTAAAGAGCAACTTTGGGTTCACTCAGAGCCAACCCATGGAATCTTTTACTTTTAACTTTTAAATGGCAGGTACTTCTTGCCGTATCAAACTGGTTTTGAAAATTTATCCAACAGACTTGCAATGCAAGCCTGGCAAGACACTGTTCAAAAAACACTACAGGCGAGACACTGTTCAAAAAACCGAAATCCAAAGCTCCCCTGGGAATGAGGATTGTTACATAGTTCTTTAAATACAGAGGTCTGGATTTAAAGGGAGAGAACTACAGTCTTAAGTAAATGAAGCAGAAAAGCTAAACATTAAATATATTCAAGGACAAAGTGTAAATGAAAGCACTGTACGTGAGCGGATTAAAAGACTGATTCTGAGACTAACCATTTCTTAATTTTGTTACACCAGTATTTGAGTTTTTGAAACAACGGTTCCTTCTCAAAGTTAGAACATACTGTAATGCCATGCTCAAGAAGTAAAGAAACATGTTACCTATTCTTGTATCAGGATAAGGAATGTCATGTGGATGGGTGTAAAATGCTTCCAGCTCAAAAGGCTCCTTCTTGTGGAAAGTAATAACTTTTGAGAATGGAGCAGCATGGTTTTTGCAGAACACTTCACATTCACTACAAAAAATAAAATAATCTTTATACACCATACAAGTTACAACAACAATAAAACACCAGGCATTTCAGAGTTTCATTCATGAGTTTCAGAGGTGTAGGTATTTTTATTTGCAGGCATTTTTATTTGCATGTGTTGACTCAAACTTAAAGAATCTATAATTCAACTATATCCTTTTCCCAGTTCTCCTGTAATATTAAGAGAGTTTGTGGAAAGAAAGAGGAGCAGATGTTATAAGAAAATCCTTGGTAGCTGCCCAAAATTTGTTGTCACTACTAACTTTACCTAGGAGGTGCAGGATCTCATCTCAGGTATCATACTGAGATTTGGAGATGCTTGTGGTACATCTCCAAAGTCCAGCACAAGGTTAAGGACAAGTCCCAATTCTCCTCCTGAGTTTGGAACCAAGAAGAAAAGAGCTTGGGGTGCTCTCTTCCCAGTGATGCTAAGCTTCAGGGGTGCTCCAAGTACCTCTGATGCCCAGCATGGCTGTATTTCCCTGCACTCCTCTTCCCCACTATGAGTACATCTCATAAGAATAAAGGCAGGGGATGGCTCTTTATGTCATCATGAGTTTCAGAGGTGCTCACCCTACAAGAGAGAGGAATGCTTGCCAAGGTGAACATCGCAAATGAATCTGCATGATGTGCTCCTGTCCTAGTTTCCTTCCCTAGAGAGCTGGAGGTTAAAAAGATCCCTAGTTATCTGTATAGCATAGGTCACACAAATGTTTTCCAGCATGTGTTAATTATCTAGCTTACTATGAAAGGACACAAGACCATGTTATCAAGCAAAACAGGAAGAAAGAAAAGCTCTTCATGGGAATGTCTATGTCAAAGTGATTGTGTATCTCTGCTTTGCTTACATGCAATGCACATTTTTAGAAATTTTACTGTATTACAAATAGCAAATCTAACTGATCTATTTACTGACCCTTTGACACACTATCGATTTGGAACGTTGCTCAAATTCTTACCCTGTCCCCTCCTCATAAGATGACTGCCACCTCAGAGTAATTGAGTACGGAACAACATCTGTGATGGAAAACTCACGGACTTTAAATGCTGGAGAAAGAATTGCACACTAGGAAAAAAGATAAAATATCACTAAGTCTTGTGATTATTACATATTTGCTTTGTGTCTGGCTTTATGACCAGCCACGTACATTTAATTTCACAAAGTAATGATTTTCATGAAGACCTGTTACACTAGCCACCAGCACAAAAAGGATATGAAAAGAACAAGAAGAGAAAGAATGGCAACTCTCTTCCCCAATAAAAAGTATACTCAAAATGGAAATTACTACAAAAAAATAGTGTGAACAATTAAAATATGGCATTATACCAGTGCCTTGCAATTTTCACTATGATGGCCTGGTCCAAATTCCACTATAATTATAGCATGTCTCATTGAGGTCAAATTACCAATCCCAGAAACATTAAGTAATATTGCTGACTAATGAAATATTGTTAAGTAAACATACCTGCAACGCACAGCCTCTTGCAACAGCTTCATCAGCATTAAGTGTGGTACTTATCTCCTTGCAGAAAAATTTACTAATCTGCTCCTTCACTGCTGGAATTCGAGTTGCTCCACCTACTATTTCTATACTGTAAATATCTTCACGCTGCAGTTCTAGTAGACACATAAGCAGACAATTTGCTTCCATAGTTAGAGGAGAAGATACTGCAGTTTTTATACTGGAACTCTGTGCCTGGGGGAAAAGTACTTAGGGAGAGGAACGATGTGTCCCTTTTGCTGTTAAAACTGGGACTCCACGCCATGACTGTATACATGACTGTGGCAAATATTTCTTTATTAGGGATTGCCACTGCTGCTCACATTGCTTACCAACCCAGCCTACCTACCCCACACTGCCATCCCCTTCCTTTACATCTAATCCAAACCCCTTCAACCTCCCATCCCTTTGACAAACCTTGTCCCACAATGTTTGCCCCTAACTCTCCCATCACCTCACATGTGTTGGGCCAGTGACATATTGGGACAGCCCCATTGTCGTCATGGCAGCCATGAAGTCCTGAGCCACCCCAGTCAGTCAGCTTGGCATGGATGTTGAAGTCCCCCAAAATCAGAAATCTGGGGGTCTTCAACATCACCTCCGAAATCAGCTCAGGCAGGGAGACTGCTGGGCAGCGAGGTGGGCAGTAATCCAGCAGAATCCCTAATCTGTTCTGATTGCCCAATGCCAGGAACATTCTAGTGGTATATAAATTTTAAAAATAAATAATGTAATAATAAATACTAGTCAGACTGGCAAACAAGAACTTTAGCTTGAAGATAAGCAGAAGACAGGTATTCATAATAAGCTGAAGCAATTTTCACTTACTTGCTTGTTCCATCACTGCTCTCAAAGGAGGTTCTACTCTGGCCAGAAGTGATGCACACAACTGTTCAAACTGAGCCCTGTTTAAAAGGGAGGAATCCATTAAGTATTATGGACAAAAATGACTAATTTTATTTAAGCCTTATAGAAAACTGAACACAATACCTGTTCATCTTACTAGAGACATCAATGTCATTCATGAAGCACTCTATGTTCATGGGAAGATCAGAGGCATTGGCACTCATAAGCTTCTTCAGTTTTTCACATTCCTGATACAGACGCAGCAGTGCTCGAGGATTGTCCTTCACGTTTAGTTTATACTTTGATCTGAACTCTTCGCAGAAGTAATCTACCAAAGCCTCATCAAAGTTTCTACCACCCAAAAATGGATCAAATGTAGCAGCCAGTACCTGTGAAGTTAAAGATACAGCATGATAGTGGTAAGGAAAGGAAGTTATTTAACACTTTTTAATACTGTCCTTCATACCACCACCCTTTAGGACAGCTTAAAAAAACATGAGTTGCATCAAATGCTGTGCGACTGAAGTTCTTCTTGCACCATGTGACTTCTATTCCCTCTGTGTAACCCCAAATCTGCTCCAAAGGGTTCCCCAACCCTCTGGAGCTGGTTCTGATTGAGGGGTGGGGATGGAAGGTACAGGAGAGCAAGTTCTGTTACAGAGCAGTCTGTTGCACAACTGGAGCTGCAGCATTGGATACAGTCCGTAAATACCAATACAATAAAGACAGTCCATTAAAATCTAATGCATACAGTAAAAACAGCAAGAACCACAGTAGCCAGACAATTCTCAAAGGCTTGGACTCAATGACCAGCAAAGACCCAGTTGAATAAATATTTTAGGAGGTGCCAAACATGTTAAGTTTATGCCTCCCAGAAAGTTAGTATCGTGCAGTAAGTTTAATGCAATGCTTACTATAAACATCTTTTAGTAGCAGTCCAAAAAACGTTAACTGTTTTGCAAAGATGGCAGAGATTAAAGCTACGATTTGCTTCTAAACCTCTTAAACCAAACAGTTGGTATCCATGGATAAAGAAACAGATAGCTGATATTTCAGCTTCTGCTGCCTTCGTGAAAGTTGGATCAAACATGTATGAATCTCTTTGTGGCTTCAAGATTGTCTTCACCATCCTCTGCCAAAAAGCTGCAGTAATAAGAGATAAATGGTGTCTCTGTGTAGTTATTGAATAGATTTATGGTTTGTGCAATGGGACTTCACCTTTTCCCTGTCGCATAAGTGAAAGTTGACTTGCATTATGCTGGATTTTGCCCAATATATTGACATTTCAAACTGCCTTTGGCTCACTTATTTTCTAAGATGTTTTGAAGATGCTTGTTACTCTAATGGGAAATACAAGCATTTTAATGTCTAAAATGTTTACTAATACACTTAACTATTTATAAGCTAGGGACAACTTATTTAGCTACATAAAGAGTGAAATGCATTCAAGTTAGATACCAACCCTCTAAAGCAGGGTGGTAAAAGTATTTTAATCTAGGGCTGCATTCCTATGTGGGTAATCTGTTGGGAGTCACATGTCAGCAGTGTTCGGAGTCTGAGCAAGTGTTGGCAAAGTTTATGGCTTTGCTTTCCCTCCCTGCCCCTGCCAATGTGGTATGATAGGATTCAAAACCAACATTTGCACCTGAATAAGAGGGGATGGACATGTTTTGACTACCACAAAGTAATACGAGGATGGGTAGATGGTTTATATCCTGATGCACTGGTACTAAGGACAGGATTTTGGAAAAAATGTTATACAGCCTCCTTCAGAAAAGAAGTTATTGTTATTGTCATGCCACAATAACAAAAAAAACTAGGTGAGGATGAAGTAGTAGGCAAAATCATGTTTCTTTATATGCATTTCAGAAAGGATTGCCTGATCTAAAAGAATGGTCATAGTACCAGACACTGATTTACAGCAGCCCATTATAGCATATGAATTACTGGTAACTATGATAATTTCCTACGCTTCTTTACTTTTCTGAATCACATGTCAATTCAATATTTTACCTTTAATTTTCCTTTGTTAAAAGCACAAACAGAAATTTGGTATGCAGAGTGTCCCATATCAACAAAAACCACATTCCTTGGTCTCTCCTCTAGGGTTGGTAGATCCTGTTTATAAATTCCATAGGCCAGTGCAACTGCAAGATAATAAAGAATAATTTTTGTGAAACTTAAGTAGCATTAGAATACTATTATGAAATACATTATAGAATCATGAAAAAACTAAAAAGGCATTATATGTTTTCAGGCTCTTCCAAGAAGTCTGCTTTACTTGCATTAGAATAATCTATTATCTTCTCTAACAGAAAAAGGGACTATATTCAGTGTTATTTGTGTGGAGTTCTGTTTCCTGCTCCCAGCATACCCTCAAAATCTTATCTGGAGGGTCCGCTAAGCCTCTGGACAGAGGAGGGGAAAGCTTCATTGTGCAAGCAGGTATCTGTTGTGCTAGCAGAACAGCAATGGATAAGATCCAAACCATTTTATATCTAAATACAATCAGTGTCTGAATTATTCAATTATGGTGTTTTGCACTTGATTTAAAACATGCAAAGACAGAAAGAGCAAACAATTCAGTGTATGCTCCTATATTCCAATGTCCTGCTGGAATCAAAACACTAGGTAACCACTGAAGACAGAATCCACACATGATCAGCAATTTTGTCTAGCTATTATTATTAAAACAGACTGAATGTGTCATCAATAGCTTTATGATGGTAACTGTAACAACTTAGAAAGTTTTGTGTATCAAGATCTATCCAAAAGTATATGTAAGTATTTAAGTGGAATTTTGGATACTGCCAAATTAAAAGTCGTCATGAAGAAGTGACATTTTAAACACTCATCTTCAAAATGTTTTGATTAAAAACGTATAAGGAGTTAAATGAGACATCTCAGAGTAAGATTAAAAACTATGATGGATTTGCATATACATTGCTTTAATCTCCCACCTCTACTATAGAGTAGTTTACTTGTAAACAGGCTGCCCTAGGGGGTCATGATATAGTGCACCATTTCAGCAATTGCTCGGGTTTACATCTTGACATTCAATGTAAATTTGATTCTAAACTAAGCTGTATGCTATATAGTAATAATCAAAGCCACAAGTTTACCTGCTGTAGTTTCATTCATTAACCTCAGGCAGTTTAGACCTGCTACTTGTGCAGCTGCCATTACTGACCTTCTTTCAGCATCAGTAAAGAAACTTGGGATCTGTTGAAAAAATGTTTTATTAGCTTCACTGCATTCCTTTTTTGCTAATGAATTTCACACAAGGCATATTCCAAACATCTTATTGCACTGTAAAACTCAAAAATACTACATTTAAGCAGATATAAGTCTATTAACGCATAGTACTTAAATAGTTCAATTCACATTCCAATTAAGTAGAAATGCTGAAATCACTACAGTTTTTAGGTTTTCAGCATTAGTAAGTACAGGAAGACTGGTCCTTATCCTGAAAAACTTATCCATAATCTAGCACAAGGGAGACAAAAGAAGGACAAGACAATAGGTGTAAATAGGGAAATAATTTATTTCAGTTGCATATACTCAGGTTTAGAGTATAGGGACATTTGGTGTGTGCCAAAAGCCTAAAGAAATATGGGTTTTGAATTTCAAGGTAGCTTAACTGAGGTGTTTGGGAAGCAGTTCAAGGTATAAAGAGCTGAGGAAGGAAGAGTCCTTTGGACCACAGAGGGCGATGGAGCTTAAAGAGTAAAGAACACAGTCAGAGGTGCATCAGGATATTAAAATATAGAGGGACGGACAAGGATGTGAAGGGCTTTGATAGAAGGGACATGGAATGGGCAGAAAAAGTAAGGACTTAAGAAAGAGAATCACAGAAGGAGTGACAAGAGAAGAGAATAATGGCAGCAAAGTGCTGGATAGAAGTCTTTTTGATGGTCTCATACTGGTGTTATGTTATGACTATGCATGGAAATTTATTAAAGGATTCAAGTTTGTTTCTTTAATATTTCTGTTCAAACTGAATCTAGATTCAAAATAAAAATTACTACCAAGCCAAGTTCAAGGTTATTGTATTAATTTACAAATTAGGTCCAGAGTAGCTCAGGGACTGCCTGAACCCTTACATCCCAGCTTGATCACTGAGAACATCTACAGGAGTGTTGTTGGTTGTTTTCCCAGTTGGTGAGGCTCATTTGACAACAACAAAAAATCAGGCCTTTAATGTTAGCCTATACATTCCTTTACGTTCTTTCTAGTCAAATATAACACAAAGTGGCAAGAGTGTTGTAATCTAATAGTGATATTTGCAGAAGTGGTATATTATGGAAGGTAATATCATGTACACATACCAAAATGCATGCTTCCAGTCAGATTCTAAAAGCTTGGTTCCTGGTTGAATTCAGATTTCTTACTTTTTATCCAAAGCTGCATGAAATACTTGATTCTAGTGGTTACCAATTTACTAAACAAAAAAGTACAGCTTCTATCAATCTGTCCCACTAAAACTACTTCTTGTCCATGCATTTTGATGCTGCTTCTATATCAAAGGCTGGTTAACTTGACTCCCTGAACCTGGACTCCTTTCCCAATGAAAAGAGGAAGCAGCCTTGCACCATGTCAGATATTGGCTTCATTTACACTTAATGCTAAGCCACAATTTATTCAACAACCCAGGAATCATCTTGCAGATGAGCAAACAAGCAACAGTTTGTTTCTCCAAAGCTTGACTTGTTTTCTAGCTGTTCTTGCCTTGAGCCCTTTTATCAGAGAGGATCTGTTGTGGAATGGTTAAAAAACCCCAAAGTTTAAGCAAGGCTGCTGGGTTCATCATTGTTAAAACAAGCCATGGTTCTAAAACTAAGAGAAAAAAACCCCAATGGCTTCACAGTATGGTTTGTTGACAGAAAAGAAACCATAGTTAGTCTGCTGGGCTGGGCTCACATATTCAAACAAATCACACTGGTTAACCAAACCATGGCTTATCATTTTGTGTGAACCAGACCTGTCTGTCTACCAAGCTAAGTATTAGCTACTCAGGCCGCCCAAGGTTTCCAAGACTGCAACATGTGACTTACCACCGAGCTAGTCTCTCCCTCTTGCATCCTTATTCATAGAGAACACAGTAAAACTAAGTAGGTCAACCTTCAACTTTACCTGAAGCCTGTCTTTGAAAAGATTTTACAGCACTGGGTACAACAGTAAATGAAAGGACTTCTGTTGCTCACATTTCTATAAGTGTTACCAAGCTGAAAAAACTCAAGAGAAATTATGGTAAATATTCTGCAAAGCATAACCATCTTAGCATATTTATGTTTCCTTTTAAGCAACAGGTTTCATTTTGATATTCCCCAATAGAATACCACACAACTGATGTTCAGCATATTAAAGTCATAAAATGCCAACTTACTGAAATTACACAATCTGCTACAGGTTTCTTAAGTGCACTTTCTGACGTATCTTTAAGCTTAACCAAGAGCATGCCTGTAACCTGTTCGATTGCAAAGGGTCTCTCCTCATCCAAGTATCGTACCTGCAACAAAAGGAAAACAGTATCCATTAAAGCACACAGTGCCCCAGAAGTGTTACATTTTATCATAATGTGTTTCCAATAAATGTTTAATGCAATCTTCCAAAATATTGCCATAACATTTAATAGACCTCTGAACTACAATATAAAATGCCCCATGGATGTATCAGATATCCACTCAAGATATTTTGTATGCATACCAAAGGTAAATCATGCATGCAACTAACATGTCATGAAGGTACATTCATTAGGCAGATAAGACTAAATGTACACTGAAAAGGAATCTACAACCAATCACAATATGGGAATTCTGACTTACAGTGTTACAGATATATACACTTAGTGTTCACACACAGAGAGGACATTTTAAATAAATAAAACAAAAGAACAAAAACCACAGATAAGATTACTTTAGAATAATGATATGGAAAAGGGAAAAGGGCAAAAAAAATGTCTTTCTTTGCTGCCACACAACCATCAGAAAGGCCCTCTTCCAGTTGCCATCTGCCTCATCTCCCATTTGAGGAGTGCCTCCAAAGATGCACAGACAGGTTTATGTGAGCAGATTCAGTATCTCCGTTATACCTTCTGCAAATATTCAGATCTATCTCATCAAATCATCAACACTGCCCTGTTTTGGCATTAAACAATCTGGCAAGTCAAACTGAAGGGATCATTTGATAGGATGCACAAAGCACCATAAATATTAACAGTTTAAATGTAGATATTGCAAGACGGGCTGGAACACTCACCTTTACTCCAACACTCCCATTAGGCAACTTCTGAAGCTCATAGGGCAGTTTGGCTCTTTCAGCTTTTATAAATGGATCATCAAATGCTCTCCCATGCAGTTTTTTGAACCCATGCAATGTATTCTTAATATTTGTGATAATCTGTTGAAGTATAACATTGCCATTACTAATTTCTAATGTTTATAAATTCTCATGAGAATCAAGAACTGCTGCTTGGAATGACAACAGCTTTCACTAAAGTACTAATAATTTAACGATTACCTGGCTCTTTGCTGCATTTCCAATAGTCCGGGCTTTAGCTCCTAGTGATATACAAGCTCTGAAATATAAAAGATATTCAATTTTCAAATGAGTCCAGAAAAGAATAAACAGGCAGTTGGGGAGACTTATTTCTGAAACAAGCAGACTTTCTTTCCATCACACACGATTAAAGTTGTGTCATTAGTTATCTTAGTAGCAAAACCATGCAAGTAAACCACTGTGGTACTAGAACAAATAGCAATCACACAAACAGACTGAACTCACACCTGCATCTCAAAAACTCAACCATTAGCATAATTTGCAAAGCAGAACCTTGAACTATCATCTTGACACTCTCCACATGTATTCAGATTCAGCCAACTTGCTTTATTCATCCATCCTTAAAAAGACAGATGGTCTTAATCTCAAGAATCTATCTCAGAAATTGGTGAGCTAACATATGGAGAATTCTATGTAATGCATTCTAGTAAGATTGTCAAATTTACATATTTTTCTAACAAAAACACAGCTCCTTTGGAGATGTCACAAACAAAGGAACTGGGTAATACTGTTAGTTTAAAGTACACATTTGCCTGATAGTATAATGTTAGTTAACGACTGCCTCAGTTCTGTTGTATATATTGACTTTCTTCGGCCAGAAAAGTAAGTATATGCCCAAGACGGACTAATGCCAGCCTTAGTCTTTTTTCATTTTTTCCACATGGAGTGATGCACCACCCTCCATTTTTTCAAAGAGGCACAGTTGCACTTCATAGGCGAGAACATGGATACCCCCTGGTGTGCGACCCAAAGCTAATTCTTGTTTTAATTGCAGACAGTAATTTTTCAGCAATGTGGGATAGGAAATTAGAGACAGTCTTTGCCCACAGTACATTTTGCTTGCATATTGCATGGCATGATTTAAATTAAAATAAATAAATAAAAAACTTGTACATATTATTTCCCACAGTTATTGTTTACTAGCTGCCCATTACTAAGAATAATTATAGTCTCAGATATATATGCCCCAGTACTGCCTTTTAAGCACTTCCTAATCAATTCATGCCTAGTTAATTTATAGCTCCTTATCAGCCTAAAGAGCAGAAGTCATTATTCTTATCCTACATGTATGATCATTGTAAGATTCATAATAAGGGTTTTTAAAACTCTTGACCACTTTAGAGTTGGTGCAAATGAGGTCCTGAAATCATTGTTTATTATTTTCATTTATTATATTTCTATCCCACCCTTCCTCCCAAAGCATTCAAATGACTGGGAAATTACAAATATCTTGTTTATTACAGTTTTTTGGTTCACTGGATGTACTGCACCATGGGATGCATTGCATCAATCAACAGCAACTTCATTTTACATGCACTGATTATTTGTGCAGGTAATCATCCTCCTTCACAATTTTCAAATCCTCAAATGATAGGGAGTTTTAGGAGCAGATTTTTACAGGGTTACTTTCTTGTGAAGAGCATTCCCAGTTTTCAGCACTACCAAGCCTTCCAATGCAGCTTCAAAACAGCAATTGCAAACAGTACAGTGGTGCCTCGCAAGACGAAAATAATCCGTTCTGCGAGTCTCTTCGGCTAGCGGTTTTTTTGTCTTGCGAAGAAACCCTATTAGCGGCTTAGCGGTTTAGCGGCTATTAGCGGCTTAGAAAAAGGGGGGGAGCGAAAAAAAATCGCAAGACTCGCAAGACATTTTCGTCTTGCAAAGCAAGCCCATAGGGAAATTTGTCTTGCGAAGCAACTCAAAAACGGAAAACCCTTTCGTCTAGCGGGTTTTTTGTCTTGCGAGGCATTCGTCTTGCGGGGCACCACTGTACCTTACTTCTGTAATTCCAAGTGTCACAAGAAGAATGAAGCCATAAAACCTAAACATCCAAAACCAGCCTTATACTAAAAAGATCTGATACATCATTCGGGACTTTCTTCTTTAGAGTAGCTCCTTGAATGTTTGTATAACTATGAAAAGGCCAAAGTGCTAAATTTTAGGAAACCTAAGGTCGAGATGCAGAATACCGATAACTGTATGTTCTCCAGGAGCTAGACTACATCATCAGGTCTAATACAAATCAGAAAATTTTGGGCTTCTTTAACCTCAATGAACTGCATAAGGCTCGAAATAGAAAACATGGCATTTTGAGTTAGCTTAGGAATATCCCACTTCAATTATCTTTTGATCAGGCATGTTTCCCAAGATTATGGAAGCTCATTTTGTATTATCAATTTAGTGGACTAGGATTCTTAGGATATAAGCAGAGATTGGCTAAATTTTACCTCCAGGAGCTGGGTTCTCCCATTCTACTAGGGCAACCCAGATCATGAGCTTCCTACCATGGTACTTACACTGTTAAGTTTAAATTATGATTTTACAAGAGCTATTTAAGAGAGCTTGGAAACTTCATAGCATGAGAGATCTGTTCCTTTAATGGTTCCAACAGTAAAACTTATTTTGGTGCTTTCCTTGGCTAGAATTCCAACAGCCTTGAATAGCTGCATCTAGCAAGTCCTTTACATACAAAAGTTTGAAGAGTGGGCATTGGTTAAGAAGGAAGCAAAGAATGGGAATAAATGGACAGCTCTGCCAATGAAGGAATGTAGAAAGTGTCATTCCCCAAGAATCTGTATTGAGACCTGTGTTTTTTAACTTGTTCATGAATTATTTAGAGATAGAGTAGTGTGGTAGTCAGGTTTGCTGACTAAATTGTTCAGGGAGATTAAAACAAAAAAGGACTGAGAAGAGCTCCAAAAGGATCTCTCCAAACTGAATTAATGGGCAGTAAAACCGCAAATGCAGGCCAATGTACACAATTGTAAAGTGATGCACACTGGGGCAAAAATAAATGAATTTCACATATGCATTCATGGGGTCTGAACTGGCAGCAACTGACCCTTAGGGTGGTAGGATAGCTACCAAAGCTACTGTGGAAATGGAAAAGGGTCAGAAAAGGGCAACCAAATTGATCAAGGGAATATATCAACTTCCCAGTGAGGAAGTATTACAATATTTGGGGCTTTTTAGTTTAGAGAACCAAACTGCAAGAGGCAGTGGAAGACAGGAGTGCCTGGCGTGCTCAGGTCCATGGGATCACGAAGAGTCGGACACGACTAAACAACACCAAGTTTAGAGAAAAGCTAAGAGGAGACATGATAGAAGTTTATAAAATTATGCATGGTGTGGAGGAAGTGGAGAAAGAAAGGTTTTTCTCCCTCTTTCATTAACATCAGAAGCGATGGGTAATCCAATGAAGGTGAATGTTGAAGGATTTAAGACAGACTAAAGGAAGAATAAATTATTCACAGAACTCATAACTAAAGTATGGAATATGCTCCTCCAAGAAGTAGTGATGACCACCAAGTTGGATGGCTTTAAAAGAAAATCAGACAAATTCATGGAAGATATGGCTATCAATGGCTGCTAGCCATGATGGCTTTCTACTTTCACTGCCAGAAGCAGTATACCCCTGAATACCAGTTGATGGGAATCACTGCAAGAATGGGATGCTGGACTAGACTTGCCACAGGTTCTTTTGTTTTTCATCTGATAACTAAGCTACCTCATTATTATTATTTATTGAATTTATATACCACCCTACGAGGTCTCAGGGCGGTTCACAGAAAAGTATTCGATGGGATGAGGGAGAGAAGACTCTTCAGCATTTGTCCACATACATTATTTCTTGTAATCGCCATTAAAAAATTATGGTAAATTTTCTGCGAAACCTTTCTAGTAGCCATGTAATACACTTATTAAAAAGTAAAACTATTCCTTAACCTTTAGCTTTTATCCTCAACAGCAATGAGGTCTAGGTATAGATGCAATGCTAAACCATAGTTTAGCACTATGAAAACAAGCCTGAGCAAATGTTGGGCTCACATGCTCCCTACTTCTCCAGAACAGACACCACCAAGAGACTGGAATTGAGGGGCATTTTAAAACAAACGGATTCAGTTAAATTTTAGTTTTTTTAACAATTCAGGAGCAAACAATGATTTATGGTCCTAGTATGCTTCAACAACAGCTGTGAAGGAAGAGAGAGAAGGGTTTGGGGTGCATAAACCCAGGGCCTGCAAGCCAAGGTTCTTCCCAGCAATTGCTAAACTATAATTTAGCACTGTTTGCAAACAGGACCCTAATATAACTGCTTTTACTCATGTCCATCCCTTATTACTTTTGCTTTCCCATTATTCCAATCCCATCCCATCTGTTTCAGAGGCAGTATCTCAAAGAAGCAAAATGCTGAAAAGAAATATCTTTGTGACCTGGCTGTGAGCGTTCAAATACTGAACTTTTGGTCTGATCCAACAAAAAAGGTCTTGCATGAACATTCTAACCTTTCCTATAATCATGTTTTCACATCCTCACTACATTTATGCTATATTTAAGTGATTAATGAATAGTTATAAGCTTTCCTAGCAATAAGCTTGCTTTTCAAAGAGACAGAAAGCCAGCAATTACAGATCCCCTGCTTTTTGTTATGTGAATCCCTAGTTTGTGCTAGAATAACTACACAGAGATACTGCTCATTTACCACTTCTCACTGTAACCCATGGAAACAAGGGAGAATGAGGAATCTCCACCTACTCTTGCATACTCTGTTATTATACGTACAGCACACCAACTATTCACTGACATCACCTTCCATGCCCTACACCCAGGTGAGGCAACTGAACAAGTAGTAACAGGTCAGACAGAAGGGTGTGGGGTGTAAAAAGAGAAGAAGAGCTGCGTCAACTTTTATCCCTTCTATCCTGCCTTTCCTTTTTATCCACACAACTCCAATATGGTGAATTCAGAGGGTAGACTGTAAATGTTGCACATTGCTGCAATCAGAATTACCCCTAAACTGAGTATTTTATTTTGTTCATGTAAAGTATTATAGCCACCTTTCAAGCTTCTGGTAAGATTGTCAACACTGAAACCTTGGGGTTATTTTTGTTGTCGTTTAGTCGTGTCCGACTCTTTGTGACCCCATGGACCAGAGCACGCCAGGCACTCCTGTCTTCCACTGCCTCCCGCAGCTTGGTCAAACTCATGCTGGTAGCTTCGAGAACACTGTCCAACCATCTAGGGTTATTTACCAAGTTGGAAAATGCTTTATTCCCCCCCCCCCCTGTTCAAACTTAATTAAGTCGTATAGTGAAGAGCTCACGAAAAGAACAGAACACTGAGTAATGCACGAAATAATTCCCTCGGGATTATTTGATGCTGTAACCTGCAAGACACGGGGTTGTGATCTAAGACTCGAGTTGCACACCAATACTTCTACCATTTAAAAAAATGGAGAGGGGGGGTTATTCATAAAATTCATAAGGACGATGAGGTGGCAAAAGACCCCCCTCCAAGAAAAGATATAAGCACGGTTTCTAAAACAGTAAGTAGGAAGAGGGTCCACAGCTCCCCTTATGGGTTGAGGCTAAAAGTGGGTTCCAAGCCCTTAAAGGCTGAAGGAGATCCAGACCTGTCATCATAGTGATTAATTTCCGAGGGAGGTTAAAAAAGCAACAACCCCCAGACCGTTCTCTTGCGGAGAATCGGGGGTGCGGAGCGTCACCCATTTAAGCGAGATGAATGCAATCAATCCTTGGGAGGTGGGAGGAGAGGGGGGAAATTAAAAGGACGGGGGTGCGGCGAAGAGAGCAAGGGGTACATGAATGAAAATGGAGGCGCCCGGCCGTCGCGGGCAGCGGCTGAAGGAGAGGGAGGAGAGACACCGGCGCCCGGCCGTTTCTCATTCGAAGCTCATTATGCGGTGTAGAGACGGCCGGTAGTTGCTGCGTAAGGTGAGGAAGCCGGTAGTTATTTGGGGCGGGGGGGGGGGAGAGAGCGTGCCGGGAGCGGTAGTTGGAGGGGGGCCGCTTTCCTTCTCGGGGCCTAAGACCAAATGACGGTTGGGAGGCCGGCGGCGGCGGCGGCGAGAAGGCCGGCTACTCACGGGGTGCAGCGGTCGCTGTATTCGTTGGCGATGGTCTCGATGCCGCCGCTCCTCGCCACCGCGATGTAGCAGTTCTGGAAGCCCAGGTCGATGCCCACCACAGACATGGCTGCGCCGGGTGTGGTCCCCTTTCTTCCTCCCCCCGCTTGCCCGCTGCTGTGGCGGCGGTGCCTCGTCGGGCGGGCGCTGCTGTCGGCTGCGGCTGTTGCTGCGACGCGGTTCCTCGCTCGCTCGCTCACTCACTGCGGAGCAACAGCCACCAACCGGCACTTCCTCGCCTCTGCGCACGCGCGCCCACGCGCGCCAGAGGCCGCCAAGCGGGGACGCCGCGAAACTCCGGCTGCGGCATTCGGCTCTTTCCGCACAGGCTCTCCGGCAAGCCTCCCCGAGTTCGAGAAAGATCTGGAAAGGGGGCAAGGTGAGCAGCGGAGAGAGAGCGCGCGCGGGGAGGGGGGGGGGGCGGTGGCCTCGGTCGCCATCTTGCGGCCAGATGTCAGTACTGCTGCTGCTGCTGCTAAGGTGGTTTGGTCGCGCGGCAGGAACATGTGACTTTGGAAAAAGTATTTCTGGGAGTGGCCTAACATGACAGAGGCCGGCCCAGCAACCTAGATATTGTTATGCAGAAATAAATTAAGCAACGAATTGAAAATCAACAGAGAGAGATTGGTTAATTATTGAAATGGGGCTCCCAGGCGCCTGATGAGCAAATAATAGTAAAAGGGGAAAAAAAATAAGAGAAACACTACAACTCAGTCGTATTGCATAAGCAAACAGATATTAAGTGTTCCTATTGTCCAATATATATATTACTTATACAATAGTAATAATTAAGTTTTGCATCTTGGGAAAACATGGTTGTTAGTGGGACGACGGGGTGGAGGTGGCAGTTGCTATGCAAAGTATACATTATGGTGTGAAGCCTTTGGCCTACAATTTACTCTGACCAGAAACATTTATGGAGTGGCACGGATGAAGTTTCTAGTGAAAACATTTCACTTCAGAGAACATGGGCATAGCTAGGATTCCAAGGTTATTGAGCTTTTTTTGAGAAATCATGGGTAAATATACCCCCAAAATAGGACATTATGGGGGGGCAGGCTTTGGTTGGGGGGTAGAACCTCAGTTAATTGAATACAGTGGTACCTTGGGTTACATATGCTTCAGGTTACATACGCTTCAAGTTACAGACTCTGCTAACCCAGAAATAGTGCTTCAAGTTAAGAACTTTGCTTCAGGATGAGAACAGAAATTGTGCTTCGGCGGCGCAGCAGCAGTGGGAGGCCCCATTAGCTAAAGTGGTGCTTCAGGTTAAGAACAGTTTCAGGTTAAGTACGGAACTCCAGAATGAATTAAGTACCTAACCTGAGGTACCACTGTACTTTCAATGCTTTTCAGTATTTTTTGTGGATGGGGGGGGGGAGCTGGTGTCTCCCCCCCCCACTCTCCCTTGTCAGGGGATGACAGTGGAGGTTGGTTTGTTAGGTTGGGTGGGATGCTGCTCCACTATTGCCCTTATATCCAATCCAGCTTCCTGGACTTCTTTTTTATATTCAGTTCTGCTTGAAACAGTATGAGGTTATTTCCCACTGCTGCGTTTCCAATTTACTTCCTTCTTCTTCTGTTCACACCACAGCCAGCTGGGTGTGTCTTCACCCAATTATTGCTTTTCCTGCTCTGAACACCCGTCAGTGAAGCTTTCGTTTGAGCATGTGCCATTATTTGTGTGCACGTATCCTGAACTGTTCACACCAATTGTGGCTTCCATTTTCAAATCACACTGAAGCTCGTTTGAAGAAAATGCATATGGAATAGGAGCATTTCTCCAAAAGCTACAGGATACAGATGGATTGGGTCCAACATCATGTGAACCCAGCTTAAAAATCCGGTGTTGGGAGTGCACTGGAGCCACAGTAAATGGGAATGTGGTCACACCCTATGATTGTAAGTCTCCACCCCAGAGTAGTCCTGGAAATTTCAACAGGACAACTTGAGGATTCGAAGCTCAATGAGTCATTATTTGATTAAACCATGATTGCTTATTAACTTATCATTTTCTGTAATTACACAGATTGACATAGCTAAGCAGATCTTATTTCATGTGGGTGTTAACTATTATTCTTCATGTTGTAAATCTGAAGACATGAAAGGGTTTTCCCATTATTAAACAGCACAGATATGTTGCAAGGCAATGGAAGGAAGTATCTGTATTTCAATAAAAAAGTAATACAAGAAAGGGGGAAGGGGAAATATGTTTTTATTACTGTTTTTTATTGTTATGTATTTTGCTGCGTATTTACAATAAAATCACTTTTTTTAAAAAGGGCCAACAATGTATTTTAAGAAGAACGGAATAAAAACGAAAAGCACAATGCCCTGATTCTCAGTGATGAGTTAATTTATACATGTCACCTGAACTCACTACATGCACCAGCACTGCTAGATATTAATGAAAACTAAATTCCAATGATAAGAGGCTATACAAATGTTTTGTTATAAAAAGACACCTGGCTGATAGTAAAAATTAATTGGACAATAATAAAATCAATAGAAGATTATCCAATCAATTCATGTCTTGTTTGTTCACACTCAACCCCCATCCTCAATACATTAGCGGCAAAGATCGCACAGAAATCTTATAGATCTTATCAAAAACTTCTGTGATGTGTTTTGGGGAAGATGTCATACCATTGTGACATGAAACATGGTAACATTCTGACTAGACTCCCTTTGCAGGTGGGGGGAAATAACCTTTACAATGGGCAAACCAGAAAGGTATTTCAGCTGTAGTTTTATTTCAGTCATCACCTTCCTTGTCTATATGTTATTACTTCAGGACTTAGCATAGCACTCTTCTGATCAAGGAGACCTGAATCCCACATCACTTAGAGGTTGAGGGCAGTTTTGTTCTATTGATTCCACACCCTTTAGAATCTTCCACACTGTTAGGTAAGCAGCCAAAGGAATGCAGAATAAGGAGTGTTCAAGGTTCACTGCTGTCATAGCAGCAGAAGTATTTGCTTATTATGGTTTCCCTAATTCAGAGAACCTTTGGCCCTCCAGATGTTACTGAACCACAACTTCCATCATCCCTGGCCATTGGGGACATATGGGGGTTGTAGTTCAACACCATCTGGAGGGCCAAAGGTTCCCCTCACATGCCTTGAATTAATCACAGCATGGTCTTTTCCTGACAGCAGGACCAGACAAGCTCTTGCCCCTTTTACAGCTATTCAGGCCAGAATCACAAAAAAGTATGTTTCTGGTAATTGCTCTATGCACACACAAACCCTACTCCCTTTTGTAACTGATGGACTATGTATTTAATTTACTTTATTAAAAAAATTACCTGCCCTTCACACAGTGCCGACAATTACAATATGTGAATGTAATGAAGCTGCATTCTATTGAGTCAGACTATTGGGCAATCTAGCCCAGCTCTGCCAACTCTTGACTAAAAATAACGGCGTTTTTTTGAGGTCTGGGCAAATGCACTCTGCTGGGCCCTCTCTTACGCTGGTGGGCCATCTCAGGCTCACTTGGGAATGGTCATAGGCGCCATCTATGCGGGGCTGTTGGGGCCCAGGCACCCACAAATTTTCAGTGAAGGGGCTGCCCCCCAAGTTCTACTCAGCAGCACATGCATGCCATGGGGTGTGCCGTGTGTGACATCCCCACACCCCAGGCGCCCTTTGTCACGGGGGCAGGGTGGTGCACCTGGCAGTGGTGGTGCAGCAACACTCAAAGAGGGACCTGGAAGTGGAGCTGCCATTTTAATTTACTATTATGCTCAAAGAGTGCCTAGGGTAGTGACACTCTAGAGCACTTGAAGAGTCTTGAAGACCCAGAATCCAGTGGTCTCAGAACAATCTGCATTACTCAAATGCTCTTGTGTCATCCAGAGTATGTCACAAGTAACTATGTCATAGAAATCTATTGTGAAGAAAACAATTAAAAATGTAAACTAGAGAGAGAGAGAGAAAAGAAATTTCCACACCCGGTGATCTAGCAAAGCAGAGATTACTAGTCAGGGCATGTGTCAGAGGGATTTCTGTAAAACATGCCCTCTGCATCAAAGGAACAGGTTTTACTTCCAGTACTATCTTGTAGCAGTTACCTGCACTGCATTGCAAACCGAATACTGAATGATCAGGCCTGAAATCAACAGGCGATTAAAGGAGTAGTCACTAGATTTTCATCATTAAATCATTATTTTCCCTTTTCTGATACATATGTCAGTGAACTAAAGTGGCCTCTAAGTGTTGTTGCACTGAATAAAATTAAAATGCAGTGTTTACAGATTTATAGATGTGTATGAGAAGTGCCAGGAAGGGAATAAGGAGGCTAAGCTCACCACAAAATGTCATGTTGGGAGGGGCAGCTACATGATGCTGATAGTTTCCCCAAAAGCATTGCTTTAGGGACCATCATAGGTAGCTGGGTATCTAACTTGTATTTGTCAGTTTCTAGATACATTTTTGGTGATAATATTTGTTGCACCAGGTTGCTCACAGACCAGAACTCTTTTTACAACAGTTGAGGCATTGCTTCTTCATAATCAGGTGGAAACTGAATGAAAATGGAGGTTCAATGCAGCACTTAATGCTCTTATCCATGACAAAGGTATTTCTGTCATGTTTAGTCACAAGTCTTATTTTAGCAAATGTCCTTTCCAGTCCTAACTGGAAGTGTACTGGTAAGCGGGTCCTGCCTGCTTGAGAGTTTCTAGTTAATCTCAATGGGAGGAGTCATGAAGAATTATCCAAATATCAGTTTTTCTTCCTGTTGGTTTCCTTGATCCAACCCCCTCTTTTTATAGTCTATAGTGAAATACCACTGTTTCACTATAGACATAGACCAGCACCATCAGGTTTCTTCCCCTTCAGCTGTTATCTAGGGCAGCCATTCCATCAAACTTCCTCAGTGGGAGAGCTGTGAAGCAGAGTTAATTTCATCCCAGCTCCATCAGGCACTTCCTGCCCATGAACCGTGCAGGCTGGTCACATACCCTCCAAGTGTCCCGATTTTCCCAGGACAGTCCTGGAAATACAGATTACTTGGGCATGTATACTACAGTGGTACCTCAGATTAAGAATTTAATTTGTTCTGGAAGTTCATTCTTAACCTGAAACTTCTTAACCTGAGGTACCACTTTAGCTAATGGGGCCTCCCACTGCCACCGTGCAATTTCTGTTCCATCCTGAAGCAAATTTCTTAACCCGAGGTACTATTCCTTGGTTACTGGAGTCTGTAACCTGAAACGTCTGTGACTTGAAGCATCTGTAACCTGGGGCACCACTGTAATTGTGTATTTACACATGGGGTACATAGGGTGTTAAAGGAGGGGTAGTACCTCAGGTGGGAGACACAT